GAGGGGCCCCCGTGTTGAGGATCAGTGTGGCAGATGTGTTGTTACCTACCCTTACCACCTGGAGTCGGCCCGTCAGGAAGTCCAGGATCCAGTTGCAGAGGGAGGTGTTTAGTCCAAGGATCCTTAGCTTAGTGATGAGCTTTGAGGGCACTATGGTGTTGTAGTCAATTAATAGCATGCTCACGTAGGTGTTCATCTTGTCCAGGTGGGAAAGGGCAGTGTGGAGTGCAATAGAGATTGCATCATCTGTGGATCTGTTGGGGCGGTATGCAAATTGGAGTGGGTCTAGGGTTTCTGGGATAATGGTGTTGATGTGAGCCATGACCAGCCTTTCAAAGCACTTCATGGCTACAGACGTGAGTGCTACGGGTCGGTAGTCATTTGGGCAGGTTATCTTAGTGTTCTTGGGCACAGGGACAATGGTGGTCTGCTTGAAACATGTTGGTATTACAGACTCAGTCAGGGACATGTTGAAAATGTCAGTGAAGACACTTGCCAGTTGGTCAGTGCATGCTCGGAGTACGCATCCTGGTAATCCGTCTGGCCCTGCGGCCTTGTGAATATTGACTTACTCACATCGGCTACGTAGAGCGTGATCACATAGTCATCTGTAACAGCTGATGCTTTCATGCATGCTTCAGTGTTGCTTGCCTCGAAGCGAGCATAGAAGTGATTTAGCTCGTCTGGTAGGCTCGTGTCACTGGGCAGCTCGCGGCTGTGCTTCCCTTTGTAGTCTGTAATAGTTTGCAAGACCTGCCACATCTGACGATCGTCGGAGCCGGTGTAGTACGATTCAATCTTAGTCCTGTATTGACTGTTTGATGGTTCATCAGAGGGCATAGTGGGATTTCTTATAAGCGTCCGGGTTAGAGTCCCGCTCTTTGAAAGCGGCAGCTCTACCCTTTAGCTCAGTGCGGATGTTGCCTACAATCCATGGCTTCTGATTGGGGTATGTACGTACGGTCACTGTGGGGACGACGTCATCAATGCACTTATTGATGAAGCCATTGACTGATGTGGTATACTCCTGCTTTATTTTTTGCTTGTAAGCAGAAATCAGGAGGATATAATTATGGTCAGATTTGCCAAATGGAGGGCGAGGGAGAGCTTTGTACGCATCTCTGTGTGTGGAGTAAAGGTGGTCTAAAGTATTTTTTCCTCTGGTTGCACATTTAACATGCTGGTAGAAATGAGGTAGAATGGATTTAAGTTTCCCTGCATTAAAGTCACTGGCCACTAGGAGTGCTGCCTCTGGATGAGCGTTTTCCTGTTTGCTTATGGCCTTCTGCAGTTCATTGAGTGCAGTCTTGGTGCCAGCATCGGTTTGCGGTGGTAAATCGACAGCTACGAAAAATATAGATAAACTCTCTTGGTAAATAGTGTGGTCTACAATTTATCATGAGATACTCAACCTCAGGCGAGCAAAACCTCGAGACTTCCTTAATATTAGATTTTGTGCACCAGCTGTTATTTACAAATATACACAGACCACCACCCCCAGTCAGCTGTTCTATCCTGCCGATGTAGCATATATCCCGCCAGCTGTATGTTATCCATGTCGTCGTTCAGCCACGACTCGGTGAAACATAAGATATTACAGTTTTTACAGTTGGTAGGATATCCGTGATCGTAGCTCGTCCATTTTGTTTTCCAATGATTGTACGTTGGCTAATAGGACTGATGGAAGAGGCAGATTACTCGTTTGCCGTGGGATCCTTACAAGGCACCCCGACCTACGTCCACGATGTCTCTTTCTCATGTGAATGACGGGGATTTGGGCCTTGTCGGGTTTCTCTAGAATATTCTTCGCGTCCGACTCGTTGAAGAAAAAATCTTTGTCCAATATGAGGTGAGTAATCTCTGTCCTGATATCCAGAAGCTCTTTTTGGTCATAAGAGATGGTGGCAGAAACATTATGTACAGAATAAATTACAAATAACGCGAAAAAACACACATAATGACACAATTGGTTAGGGGGCCGTAAAACGGCAGCCATCTCCTCCGGCGCCATTCTGTTGTGAAGCCGGATGCGCTGTCACGCCTCTATAGCCCCACTGCTACACCATCGGACCCCGAGACCATCCTCCCTACCTCTTGTCTCGCGGCTGCACTCATCTGGGGTATAGAAAACCAGGTCTGTGAGGTGCAGCGTTCCCAGCCGGACTCCAGGGGGGCCCAGCTAACCGGATGTTTGTCCCAGACTCTGCCTGTTCCTCAGTTCTGGAATGGGCTCATTCCTCTCGACTGGCATGCCATCCTGGCTCCCATCGGACCCTGGCCTTTGTATGACAACGTTTTTGGTGGCCCACCTTGGTTCCTGATGTCTCCGCGTTTGTCGCTAACTGCACCGTGTATGCCCAGAATAAGATTCCTCCTCAAGCTCCGGCTGGCCTCCTTCAACCACTTCCTGTCCCTCACCGTCCCTGGTCACATATATACTTCGTCACTGGTCTCCCCCCATCTGATGGCAACACTGTTATCCTTACCGTGGTGGACCGGTTTTCCAAAGCCGCCCATTTCATTCCTTCCCCCCAAGCTACCCTCAGCCGGAGACTGCCCAGCTCATGGTGTAGCACGTCTTCCGGATCCATGGACTTCCGGTGGACATGGTCTCCGACTGGGGTCCTCAGTTCTCGTCCCAGTTCTGGAAGACGTTCTGCACGCTCATTGGGTCGTCGGCCAGCCTGTCCTCCGGGTTCCACCCCCAGTCTAACGGCCAGTCAAAGCAAGCCAATCAGGACCTGGAGACGACTCTTTGCTGCCTTGTCTCCGCCAATCCCACCACCTGGAGCCAGCAGCTTGTCCAGGTAGAGTCCCGCAAACTTTCCCCCGTTTTATCGGCCCTTTCCCCATCTCCAAGATTCTTAGCCCCTCTGCTGTTCGTCTTCTGTTGCCCCGTACCCTCCGTATACATCCCACTTTTCATGTGTCTAGGATTAAACCTACAGTGGCTTGCGAAAGTATTCACCCCCCTTGGCATTTTTCCTATTTTGTTGCCTTACAACCTGGAATTAAAATGGATTTTTTAGGGGTTTGTATCATTTGATTTACACAACATGCCTACCACTTTGAAGATGCAAAGAAATAAGACAAAAAAAAACAGAAAACTTGAGCGTGCATAACTATTCACCCCCCCAAAGTCAATACTTTGTAGAGCCACCTTTTGCAGCAATTACAGCTGCAAGTCTCTTGGGGTATGTCTCTATAAGCTTGGCACATCAAGCCACTGGAATTTTTGCCCATTCTTCAAGGCAAAACTGCTCCAGCTCCTTCAAGTTGGATGGGTTCCGCTGGTGTACAGCAATCTTTAAGTCATACCACAGATTCTCAATTGGATTGAGTTCTGGGCTTTGACTAGGCCATTCCAAGACATTTAAATGTTTCCCCTTAAACCACTCGAGTGTTGCTTTAGCAGTATGCTTAGGGTCATTGTCCTACTGGAAGGTGAACCTCTGTCCCAGTCTCAAATCTCTGGAAGACTGAAACAGGTTTCCCTGAAGAATTTCCCTGTATTTAGCGCCATCCATCATTCCTTCAATTCTGACCAGTTTCCCAGTCACTGCCGATGAAAAACATCCCACAGCATGATGCTGCCACCACCATGCTTCACTATGAGGATGGTGTTCTTCGGGTGATGAGAGGTGTTGGGTTTGCGCCAGACATAGCGTTTTTCTTGATGGCCAAAAAGCTCAATTTTAGTCTCATCTGACCAGAGTACCTTCTTCCATATGTTTGGGGAGTCTCCCACATGCCTTTTGGCGAACACCAAACGTGTTTGCTTATTTTTTTCTTTAAGCAATGGCTTTTTTCTGGTCACTCTTCCGTAAAGCCCAGCTCTGTGGAGTGTACGGCTTAAAGTGGTCCTATGGACAGATACTCCAATCTCCGCTGTGGAGCTTTGCAGCTCCTTCAGGGTTATCTTTGGTCTCTTTGTTGCCTCTCTGATTAATGCCCTCCTTGCCTGGTCCGTGAGACAGATATTTCACCGGATGTAGGGCCCATACATGTGAAGCATCCAGTTAGAGTTTCCACTCACTACCAAATCTGGTGATGAGAGGAAGCCCCCATGGTCGGCACTGGGAGAAGATGGAGGGAGATGGATTTTGGCCAACATTCTGCAGATTTTCTCATAGATTATACATTTGATCTCCATACAGTTTTCTGCTTCCAAAACTAGAGTTTGTTACAAACAGAGTGGACTGTGCTGTGTAGACTTTACCCTTTGCCAAAGTTTCAAAAAAATTACATTGTTTAGGAGCGCAAAGACAAATTGAGTTATTGCACACATGCACTTCACAGAGTAGGCGTTCCCTAATGGAAATATGCAAATAAATGCTAGAACACACCAATAGGATCTCACTAGCTCTTGCTTGTCACTGTGCATCTCCTTGCTTGTTCTGCCCACTATGATTAATTTGCTCCCATTGGAAATGACAGGCTCTGGTCTATCTTGGGTTAGTTCTAAAAAATCTTTGGTCATATAACCCTAAATATTTTGATGTGCAATTTGGAATGACAATTTAATAGGACCAAGTGCTTCTATAAAACAAATCTCACATCTGTGGCAGGTAACAACACAACCAAATCACAGGTATAACAAGAAAGGAAAGGGGGGGGAAGTGGTGTCTAGGGCTCTATTTTATGGAGGACTAAAAGTGCCACAATTAAATAAATAAATACACCATTAAATAATTACTTAAATGTGTCATTAATTAATTAAAATTAGAATTAAATACATAAATGTGTTATTAAATGTGTCATTAATTAATTCAAATACCGATTCATTTTATGTAAAATACATATATAATTATTTCACTATTTACATTTACATTTCATGATCCTGCATTGCAGTGATTCATGAATTACTTAAAACTGTCAAACTGACCCATCAAAGTCAGTGGGCGGGGCTAACGCGAATCTAGTCTGATCCATTGCTTTGGTCTGAAGTAGAGTAGGCCAACCTGGATAGAGACAATGGAGGATCTCCGTGAACTTTCCAGGGAGTTGGTTAGAGACATTTTAAACTTAGCAGAGGATGTAGAAGCAGGACCTGCTGACCCAGAGCATGTAGCTAGTAAAGCAGAGGAACTTATTGAAGTTGTTGGAGTCATTTCCGCACTTTCCGACGAAGATATCGACCACAGAGTGATTGCAAATCTAGAAGAAGTTGTCCACCGCTTCTCTGGTACCAGGGCACTTCAGGCCCAACACACACAGGGACCGGGGCGTTTGGCGTTTGACATACCGAGTGCAGTTCTGGAGCATCAACTTCTTTGTGGAGTTCCCGCAGTTCAAATTGCAGCGATGTTCGGTGTGTCAAAGAGGACCATCAGGAGGCGCATGCAACAATACAGTTTAAGGTATTTACACTAAATTCATGAGTTTTCTGTTTATGAATTGCTGCTCTCATACACTCGGAAAGAATATGACGTTTAAGGTAACATTACTTGATGTTGTGTTTTTCTTGTTTGTACAGAAAGACAGATCTCTATTCAGCTGTGAATGATGAGGAGTTAGACCGTATTGTAAGTGAAATTCACAGAAGTCATCCAAACACCGGCTACAAGCTAATGCGTGGTCACCTGAATGCAAGAGGTGTGCATGTTCCAAGTGAGTAGATAATAATATGGGCATTATTTAAATGTATTTTTAATTTGGAGCTCTGCCCCTTTGAAAGGTGAAGGAAGCCCGCTTATGGAAAGACATCGCCTCTGAGATGTAGAATGTGTAGAAGAAATGTGAAGAGAAACACACATTTCAGGACGGCTGACTTGTATCATCAGGATAGACATGTCCTGTGATTTTTAGCCTCCTGTTTAATAGAGGTGGAACAATATCTGACAGTAATATTCTCAGCTGTCCGGATGTGCCCCTGCTGTAAAGGGTATAATATAATCATAGAAAAGCAAAATATCATAGGAGGCAAAAAATCTCAGGTCATCTCTGTTCGAGCATGTGGTATCTATCTATCTATCTATCTATCTATATACGTGTGTATATATATGTATATGTGTATATATATGTATATGTGTATATATATATGTATATATATGTGTGTATGTATATATATATATATATAAATATATATATATATAAATATATGTATGTATGTATATATATGTATGTATATGTATGTATATATATATATAAATATATATATGTATGTATGTATATATGTATGTATATGTATGTATGTATGTGTATATATATATGTATATATAATTTTTATATATGTGTATATATATGTGTATGTATGTATATATATATATATATATACATACATATATATACATATATATATATATATGTACAATATCTGACAGTAAAGTACATTTTTGAAGCTGTGGTGGTTCTGTAATAGTTGACTGTTTTACACACATTATTTATTTTATTATGACACCACTATATCCTCAAAATAAGTAGCCAGTGAGTGTGTGGTTATTCATTTTAAATTCCTCCCCTCAGTCTCAAGACTGCAAGAGTCTTTACGCAGAGTCAATGCAGAGGGAGTCTACATGAGACGTCTGAGGCTGCGTGTATTAAGGCGACGGCAGTATTTTGTTCCTGGCCCAAACTCTTTGTGGCATATAGATGGCCACCATAAGCTTATCAGGTCAGTGATATTAGCAGATAAACAATGCATCTTTCTATATGTTTCATTACAATTGTTATACAATAAAGTTATATTTTTTCATGTGTTTGCAACAGGTGGAGATTTGTTGTCCACGGTGGGGTGGATGGATTCAGTCGTTTAGTGGTCTACCTGACTGTGGCCGGCAATAATAGAGCTCATACGGTCTTACAGAGCTTTATCGCCGCTGTTGAGCAGTATGGGCTGCCATCAAGGGTACGGTCTGACAAAGGGGGGGAGAATGCAGATGTAGCAGAATTCATGATCAGAAGCAGAGGTACCGACAGGAATTCACACATCACAGGCAGAAGTGTCCACAATCAGCGGTAAAGAAATATGTTTGGCAACTAGGCTCACACAACTAACATACTAGTTGAATGTACTTTAGCATATGTCATAAATTAACAATTTCTCAATTTTATCCTAAACACAGAATAGAGAGGATGTGGAGAGATGTTTATGAACATGCCCTGGACCTCTTCTATCAGATCTTTACTTCATTGGAAGATCAGGAGACACTGAATCCAGACAATGAAGTCCATCTTTTCGCTCTGCACCGGATTTTCCTTCCACTGGTTCAGCAAAGCCTCGACTCTTTTCGAGATGCTTGGAACTTCCACGGTCTTAGAACTGAAAGGAATCAGTCACCACAGCAACTCTGGAGAAGTTACAGAGAGCAAGGCCCTGAGGAGGATCCTACTGAGGTTAACAATGAACTTTAAACACTTTCTTAAAATTGTTTCCCCAAAGGAATTATGGGAGAAAAAAATGGTGCTAAATGTGATACTTTAAATGAAACATTTACTATAGATTATTGTCTCTTTAAAATCTCCCGAGCTTTTAAAGATCAACCTGTGAGCTGTAGTTTCTACAGTGCATACTATGCAAAGCTGTATTATTTTTAAAAACTGAATAAGTAACATTTCATTTCTCACTGCCTTGGTGACCAAAAATAACAATCTTGTGTAAGGACATGTCAAACTAGTTTTAAGTACAAGACTGATTATGCTTGTCATCCATTCAGGTTCCTGAAGAATATGGGATCGATTGGAACGGACCTCACTGCCTTCATCGAGGCACTGTGTCAGTCCCCGAGGTTCAGCTGGCCCGTGAGCTCTCAGATGAAGAGGTTGCAATTTTGCCAGCTCCAGGAGTTTCTGTTACTGATGCACTTAGACTATATGTAGAGACTGTGGAAGTGTTATCAAGAATCTTAGACTGATGTCCAACCCATGTTTTTATTTGTTGTGTTAGAACAAGCAAGGAAAAACTGAAAGTTTACTTTCCTTTTAAAAGAAAGGAAAAAAAGCTGTTTCTTTGAAGCTTCCTGTCTCATTATGGTCCACAGAATGACTAACATGAATGCTGTACTGTTAGCACTGAAGGTGCAGAACAGTTTAATTTTAGTAAATGGAAGAAAAAAAAGTCAACTACTGCACAGTGTGTTAATGTTTTCAAAGACACTGAACTTGTGTCAATTCATCTGAACTGTGTATGCATTGACATTAGGGCTGGGCAATATGGAGAAAATCAAATATCACATTTTTGACCTAACACCTTGATGTCGATATTGCAACGATATTGTAAGGTTGACAATTGGTGCATTCACAAAATATCTTCCACATTTAGATTTCGGATAAATAACTATCATATTGTGGATATAATGACTAAGTGGTAAAAGGCAAATAATAGAACAGCTAGAACAGTCTGGTAAGTTCAGAAAATGACATCACTTTACTGTAATGCAGCCTTTGAAACCAGGAAAAGACTAAACTTACCATGTAACGATATTACACTTCTTCAAAATCTAATGGTGCTTTTCCATTACATGGTACCTACTCGCCTCGCCTCGCCTTTTTTGGTTTTCCATTACGAAAAAACATCTTCAGAACCTGTCACAACGCTGAGTTGACATAAAAACAGCACTACTAAACAACTACAACTAAATATTAGAAAAATAGAAAAACCCAGTTGCATGTTATTAATTGTCTGTAACTGTATTATCTTATCTAATTATATCCTACAGGTGTTATCTTTCTATTAACTTTTCAGTTACACACAATCTTATAGCAACACTATTGTGATGACACAAACCACTGTCTGTTTCTTTGCGATCCAACTCCTCGTTGACAATCACTGCCGGTACTACTGCACTCTCAGCTGATGTTTCAGGCCTCACTGGAACACTGTCACTGACTAGGGCTGTCTCACTATCATTTTCTTCACTTTGGCCTCCCTCTTGTTCTCTTTCTGATTCCTGCATGGGTGTCCTTGAAGTTAACACAATTGAAATGATGGTCATACTCGCTTATTTGTGTGCACAACAATAAGAGAGACATATTCCCAAAGAAAATAAATTATGCTACCCTTGCATTGCTTTAAGAAGTACATACCCATTGCAGCTCAATCTGTGCAGCTTCATCTCTGAAAAGGGAACTTCCTTCTGACAAGTGATGCAGGGGATGACTGGACCAGAGGCAGGACGTGAGCTCTCCTAACAACAACAACAAATGGCTTTTAATTAATGATTAAAAGTCACCAGTAATCTTTGTTTTGATTATGTATTAAACTAAGTCTCTGTAAATGTATGTACACAATCTAAGGGTAGATCCTGTTGAAGTGGACGTATGTAGATTGTAGCCTGTCCAATCATCGTCGATGGATCTTTCAGATAGGCAAGGGTGTATCCAGTGCTGGGACACTGAAGCAACGCAAGATTTCGACTGCGAGTAGATCCTACAAGTTTTAGAAATTCAAAGCCTCCCCCTTGTTGGAGCTTCGGAAACACTTCCATCAGTTTATTTGTTATAACCATGGGATCGTGGTCATTCCCTGGAGAAAAAAACAAAACAAAATCATAACTCACCTCACCTTAAATTAAGCAAATAAGCCTGTGATAACTATTATTGACACTATGATCACCAATTAAGTTTGAGTCACTATAAAAAGAAATGCAAATAATTTCAACAAGCCACAGACAGTACAAACTTTTTTTACTTTTGGTAAATGCCTAGTTTCGCACTGACCTGAAAATGTTACTTTTTGCTCTCCAAGTCCTGAAGTAAGAAGTTCAGCTTTAAACAGTACGCTTGGAATTTTATCCGCATTGTGGTCAGCCAAACAACAGACAGTGTGTGTGTAGCTTCTTCGGCTAACTTGGACTTGTGCTGGTCGTCTCGTCATATTCCTTCTGGCTCCAATGTTATATGGCGCAAAGAGCCTTGCTACCTCCGCTGCAACACAGAAAAACGTAACAGCTCAATGGTCACCAGTCAGCTAAAACAGCCTCTACTTCTATCTTGGGATGCTCAAGCCAGCTAACACCATTTAGCCGATTAGCGAACTAGCTAGGTTTATGCTTCCCCCCCCCTAAACCAACGTAGAGGTGAATAGCGCCACCCAGTGTATTGGAATGTGTTCAGTAGCTCTGCATCAATCCATTATCCGGAATTGATTTGTCTTGGCTTGATGCAGAGGGTAACCAATCAGGCGTTAGGTTCCGCCTACCAACTTTTGATGGGTCAGTTTGACAGTTTTAAGTAATTCAGGAAGCACTCCAACGCAGGACCATGAAATGTAAATGTAAATAGTGAAATTATTATATATGTATTTTACATAAAATGAATCGGTATTTGAATTAATTAATGACACATTTAATAACACATTTATGTATTTAATTCTAATTTTAATTAATTAATGACACATTTAAGTAATTATTTAATGGTGTATTTATTTATTTAATTGTGGCACTTTTAGTCCTCCATACTATTTCACTTTCTTAGTATAACAGGAATAATTAAGATAATGTAATGTAGGTAGGCCGTGACTGGCCTCATACTCCAATACAGTAGGTGGCGGTGTATGCACCGTAAATTGGATGCGATTCGCCAACCTACTCCCGAAGAAGAAGAAGTAGACGAAGTAGACGAAGAAGAAGAAGAAGAAGGAACTATATTTGACACAAGCTTCTTTCACGCCGGCTACGTTAGGGTACAACTCAAGAGAAGGTGTATGACAATTTACATTGTATATTTCAGCTTTTAGTTATCCCTTAATTTTTTAAAATGAAAACACGCCTATTGCTTTGCACAATAATGATACTGTTATTAATGTCATTAATATTAGCTAGCTAGCCATTTCCTTGAACATCAGTAATGGTGGATGGAGTGGGGGAGCTAGCGAGCTAAAAGTTGCTGCTTCATGGTAGCTCGAGAGCTAGCAGTTAGCTATCGAGCATCTTAATGAATAGAGCTTGCGCTAGTACAATAGTTGTAACTTCTATTTCTGCCATAGCTAACTAGCTAGTTAACTTGTTATGAATAAATCCATATTGGTGTGTACAAATGTTGTCCTTATAGCTAATTATTTCCAATGCCTCAGGTACTACTGCACTTTCAGTTTCACTCTGCTAGCCTCCATACTATCTCAGGCTAACTAGCTAACGTTAGCCATAGATATGACAAGCAAGCACTGTAGAATACCGTTACTGATAAATATCAATCTGTGGCAGAATGAGTTGACTAGGCCTTTAGCAACTTGATTATCATGTTTGTTAGTTGATACATTTTTGTATCTAAACATGATTTGTTTCACAGCCACAGGATTTAAAGGAATCTACTAAGATGGTGAGTATCAAATCAACCAACTGAGATCTAAGTTTTGTAATGGATGCCAAAGAACCTGATGGAAGCACAACCGCAATTTATGATAGTTTGTAGTCTGCCCTATATAATGTGATATTGTTGACCTTTTACAGTCTCGTCGATATGATTCAAGAACAACCATCTTCTCGCCTGAAGGTAAGTTATTGACAACTGATGGACATTCATGTTGGAATACTTTTGAATGCATCCTTAATTCGCTCCTTGAAATAAGATGGATCAAATACAATTGGATAGGTGAAAGCTAATGATACTACTGCGTAGTTTTACAAATCCAATCATGTCAGAACAGTTATTTCTGAATGTAGGGCCAGCCCGCTCATTAGGCAGGATTAGGCGGCCGCCTCATGGCAGATTGACAAGGGCGGCATTTTCTGAACTAAACTGATCAAGACGCATCTCCAACCACATAAAGTCTCACATAATCCTACCCAAAAACAATGACAATTTCACTCAAACAGTGGCATATGGGCTTCTTAGGTGAGCGCTGATGCCGCCCTGTGATAAGCAGTGCCCACTTTGTCAAAGGCAGGGGCGCAAAATATTTATCCTGTCCATTCCCAGGATGCCTCTCCAGGGTGCTGTTGGAGAGACTCATCGCTGTGGCGCTCCAGCAACATTCTGTCAAAAAAATGATCGAGCATGAATCATGTAGCAGATATAGCATATGGTAGAACAAGTATTTGGCCTTTTCTGTAGCCTACAGGCTGGAGATAAAATGTATGACAATGGAATGAGATGGAAACTTTTTACATCATGCAGGTTTCTCCGCTCAAATAGCCTAACCAAAATGGTGCCCAATCAAATAAAAAATGTCCTGACATGTTAACCAACAACATATCCTAAAAACAGGACAGGCCAAAGTAAAATGGAGAATATGGAATGGACAATCAGGCTACTCACAACTGCTGTCCATGAGTTTCACCCCATGAGATAAATTGTCATGATCAGTGATTTCAAGTTTTAACTGTCAATCTTTTATGAGCTGATCATAGCGAAAAAGAAAATACTTCTGCATTTCCCACTGTGTAAACATATTGCAAATAGGTTTAGGAGAACTCCCGATAAAGTTGGGTATTTGATATTCAGATCTTAAATAGCCAAATTGATTAGTGACAGGAAACAGGTGTAATAAAGCCAATGCAACGGCCTGTTTTACAAATGGATGGGCATTCATAAAATTAAATTGCAGGCTGACATGGTAGGCTATACCCCAGTAAGCACAGACCGACGCCAACATCTTTTTTTGACTGGCTGTGTTTTTTTGTGTGTTTTACAAATGTTAGGCCTACCACATAGATGGGCGTTCCTAAAATTCAATTTCAGGCGACACTGTAGGCTACACCTCAGTAAGCATGGACCGATGCTAACGCCTTTTGGACAACTTGTTTTGGTCCGGACTGGACATACTTTTTTGGTTTAGACGTCTATATTTGGTTCATATTTTGTCCGGTCTGTACGAGCCTTGATTTGGCCCAAACACAGATGTCTATAAATGACGTATTTTCACCTTTCATTCAGAACCTACATTTAACCTAGCTTCAATGTCTGGTAAATATGTTTTTTAGACATCTTTTCAACGTCATTTTGCTTACTGGGACTATTTTGCCTTTATTTATTTGATTGATTTAACCTTTATTTAACCAGGTAGGCCAGTTGAGAACAAGTTCTCAAGCCTCGGGCATCAGAACGGCCAGGACCGGCCCTGTCTAAAAGGAAGGGTGCATTTATAGTTGTGCAGAGAGACACAGGCAATTCCATGATAACGGTGTTACGCAGAGACTCAGATTTTTCACCTTAAAATGTATACCAAACAAAAAACAATGATTTCACAGTTTAACAAACCATATAACTCTACGCTCAAGGACTACTTTTAACAATTTCCACTGACAATTTTACAAAAACACATTTACAGGAAGAACTGGGCAGATGCAGCATTTGGTAACAGAATAAAACTGAGGGAGATTCTACCGTTACTGTATTACCAAACTTTGCATCTGCACAGTATTTTTTTGTATTTTTTACTGTGTAAATTGTTCAAAGTAGTCATTGTGCATAGAGTTATGTTTTTTTTAAACTTTGAAATTCCGTTTCCGTGGAATTGCCCACACACATAATTTGTCGTCTCTGTCATTGGCAGGCCGCCTATACCAGGTAGAGTATGCCATGGAGGCCATTGGTCACGCTGGCACTTGTCTGGGGATTTTGGCCAATGACGGTGTGCTGCTGGCGGCTGAGAGGAGGAACATCCATAAGCTATTGGACGAGGTGTTTTTCTCAGAAAAGATCTACAAGCTGAATGAGTAAGTTGCTGCTTCCTTTGTGTTTATCTTCAGATCAAAATCCAAATACATCATTCTAGTGGCAAGCAGAAGTGTCCTTCCATTCCATCTTTCTAGTGGCAAGCAGATGTGCCCTTCCATTGCCTACTGGCTTGTGACATTTCCTCTTGTGTTGCAGGGATATGGCCTGTAGTGTGGCTGGAATCACATCAGATGCCAACGTACTGACCAATGAGCTGAGACTAATAGCACAGAGGTGAGCAGGGGACGAGCTAAGAGATGAATAGAGGGTGGCGCTGGATGGGCAGAGCAGCGTGCCAATCAAGCACTGATATATAGGGTTGATGTGCTTCATAGCTATCATGAAGCATAATAATAAATAAGGGAAACATTTCGGAGATCCGAAAAGACAATAATTGTTTCTCTTAACAATGACAAATGTCACTGTTCCATTTTACTGTCAGTGACATCTGAAATGCCTCTGGCTTCACTTCACATCAGGGTTCGCACAAGGTGCTTAAAGTACTTGAATTTGGCACTCTGAAATTCAAGTACTGGAATACCTTGAAAATCAGACATTTTTGGAAGTTAGTACTTGAAAAGTACTTGAATTGAAATGAGAGGAGATCAGAAAATGATCTAATATGAAAAATATTAGAAAAAAGTATTGGTCTTACAAATTAATTTCCTGGCAGACTGCCAAGTTTTATTTCATTGCGTGTTTTGCGCTCTGGTTGCCAAGCGAGCTCGCTCATTCCACCCACAATGCCACTCAGCCAGGCAGGTACAGAACTGACTGATTAGGCGGCAGCAAATGTCACATAGATAGGTAAAATGCCTGGCAAATGTAGATTCAAACCTGCCTTTTGTGCGTATGAACATTTCTGCTCATGAAACATGGGACCAACACTTTACATGTTGCGTTTTATATTAGCAGTATTCTTAGGGTCATTGTCCTGCTGGAAGGTGAACCTCTGTCCCAGTCTCAAATCTCTGGAAGACTGAAACAGGTTTCCCTGAAGAATTTCCCAGTATTTTAGCGCCATCCATCATTCCTTCAATTCTGACCAGTTTTCTAGTCCCTGCCGATGAAAAACATCCCCACAGCATGATGCTGCCACCACCATGCGTCACTGTGGGGATGGTGTTCTCGGGGTGATGAGAGGTGTTGTGTTTGCGCCAGACATAGCGTTTTCCTTGATGGCCAAAAAGCTCAATTTTAGTCTCATCTGACCAGAGTATCTGCTTCCATATGTTTGGGGAGTCTCCCACATGCCTTGCCTATTTTTTCTTTAAGCAATGGCTTTTTTTCTGGCCACTCTTCCGTAAAGCCCAGCTCTGTGGCGTGTACGGCTTAAAGTGGTCCTATGGACAGATACTCCAATCTCCGCTGTGGAGCTTTGCAGCTCGTTCAGGGTTATCTTTGGTGTCTTTGTTGCCTCTCTGAATAATGCCCTCCTTGCCTGGTACGTGAGTTTTGGTGGGCGGCCCTCTCTTGGCAGGTTTGTTGTGGTGCCATATTCTTTCAATTTTTTAAATAATAGATTTAATGGTGCTCCGTGGGATGTTCAAAGTTTTTGATATTTTTTTATAACCCAACCCTGATCTGTACTTCTCCACAACTTTGTCCCTGACCTGTTTGGAGAGCTCCTTGGTCTTCATGGTGCCGCTTGCTTGGTGGTGCCCCTTGCTTAGTGGTGTTGCAGACTCTGGGGCCTTTCAGAACAGGTGTATGTATATATATATATATACTGAGTTCATGTGACAGATCATGTGACACTTAGATTGCACACAGGTGGACTTTATTTAACTAATTATGTGACTTTTATTTGTAATAAATGAGCAATTTCTAAAAAAAAATCTTAATGTGGTATTGTGTGTAGATTGATGAGGAATAAAATTAATTTAATCAATTTTAGAATGAGACAACGTAACAAAATGTGGAAAGGGTCTGAATACTTTCCGAATGCACTGTATGTAGTAAATAAGTAGTGAAATGCGTATTTTTGGAATAGAACTTAAAAGGTAGCGATGAATAGTAAGTAATTTTTTTTCTCATTAGGTATACTGGCATCTGGTGGCGACTAGAAACAATTGCAGAATAGGAACTATTACAAATTGATGGTCTTTGAAAGTAAATATTAGTTCTTAAACTCCTTGAATGTCCTTTAATGTGACTTGCCACTGTCTGCACGAACCTTGCTTCGCACTGATAAAGGACACATATCCCTGTAGGAACCGGATCCTGGATCGTTTGGTAACCTGATCCGCACTATGAAGCATGTGTGAGCAAATACAGTGTCTTATTCCACATTTTGTTGTTACAGCCTCAATTAAAAATTGATTAAATTTATTTTTTTCTCCCCCATCTACACACAATACTCCATAATGACAGTGAAAACATGTTTTTAGACATTGTTAAAAAATGTATTGAAAAGGAAATACAGAAATGCACAATGTATGTGGACATCCCTTCAAATTAGTGGATTCGGCTATTTCAGCCACACCTATTGCTGACAGGTGTATAACATTGCGCACACAGCCATGCAATCTCCATAGACAAACATTGGCAGTAGAATGGCCTTACTGAAGAGCTCAGTGACTTTCAACGTGGCACCGTCATAGGATGCCACCTTTCCAACATGTCAGTTCCTCAAATTTCTGCCCTGCTAGAGCTGCCCTGGTCAACTGTAAGTGCGGTTATTGTGAAGTGGAAACGTCTAGGAGCAACAACGGCTCAGCCGCGAAGTGGTAGGCCACACAAGCTCACAGAACGGGACCGCGAGTGCTGAAGTGCGTAAATATCTTCCGTCCTCGGTTGCATCACTCACTACAGAGTTCCGAACTACCTCGGGAAATGTCAGCACAATAACCATTAGTCGGGAGCTTCATGAAATGGGTTTCCATGGCCAAGCAGCCACACACAAGCCTAAGATCACCATGCGTAATGCCTAGCGTCAGCTGGAGTGTGTAAAGCTCGCCACCATTGGACTCTGGAGCAGTGGAAACGCGTTCTCTGGAGTGATGAATCACGCTTCACCATCTGGCATTGCGACAGACAAATCTGGGTTTGGCGGATGCCAGGAGAACGCTATCTGCCTGAATGCATAGTGCCAATTGTAAAGTTTGGTGGAGGAGGAATTATGTTCTGGGGCTGTTTTTCATGGTTTTTGGCTAGGCCCCTTAAGGGAAATCTTAATGCTACAGCATGCAATGACTTTCTAGATGATTATTTTCTTCCAACTTTGTGGCAACAGTTTGGGGAAGGCCCTTTCAGCATGACAATGCCCCCGTGCACAAAGCGAGGTCCATACAGAAATGGTTTGTCAAGATCAGTGTGGAAGAACTTGACTGGCCTGGCAGAGCCCTGACCTCAACCCATCAAACACCTTTGGGATGAATTGGAATGCTGACTGCGAGCCAGGCCTAATCGCCCAACATCAGTACCCAACCTCACTAATGCTGTTTGGCTGAATGGATGCAAGTCCCCGCAGCAATGTTCCAACAGCCTTTCCAGAAGAATGGAGGCTGTTATAGCAGCAAAGGGGGGACCAACTTCATATTAATGCCCATGATTTTGGAATGAGATGTTCGACAAGCAGGTGTCCACATACTTTTGGTCATGTAGTGTATCTCATTTACGTAAGTATTCACACCCCTGAGGCAATACATTTTTAAATTGTAGTTATTTATCAGACACTCTTATCCAGAGCGACTTACAGTTAGTGAGTGTATACATTCTTTCATACTGGCCCCCCGTGGGAAACGAACCCACAACCCTGGCGTTGCAAGCGCCATGCTCTACCAACTGAGCTACACGGGGCTAACATGTTAGAATCACCTTTGACAGGGCCTCTCGAGTGGCGCAGTGGTCGAAGGTACTGCATCGCAGTGCTTGAGGCGTCACTACAGACCCGGATTTGATCCGGCCGCGACCGGGAGACCCATGAGGCGGCACACAATTTGCCCAGGGACGTTAGGGGAGAGTTTGGCCGGCCGGGTTGTCCTTGTCCCATCGCGCTCTAGCGACTCCCTGTGTTGGGCCGGGCACATGCACGCTGACAGTTGTACGGTGTTTCCTCCGACACATTGGTACGGCTGGCTTCCAGGTTAAGCAAGCAGTGTGTCAAGAAGCAGTGCGGCTTTGCAGGGTCGTGTTTTGGAGGATGCATGGCTCTTGACCTTCGCCTCTCCCGAGTCTGTACGGGAGTTGCAGCAATGGGACAAGACTGTAATTTGGATATCACAAAAAAGGGTTATAAAAGTCTAAGAGCTTTGCACACCTGGATTGCACAATATTTGCACATTTTTCTTCAAGCTCTGTAAATTGGTTGTTGATCATTGCTAGTCTTGTCATAGATTTTCACGTAGATTTAAGTCAAAACTGTAACTCGGTCACTATGGAACATTCAGTGTCATCTTGGTAAGCAACTCCAGTGTAGATTTGGCCTTGTGTTTTAGGTTATTGTCCTGCTGAAAGGTGAATTCATTGCCCAGTGTCTGGTGGAAAGCAGACTGAACCAGGTTTTCCTCTAGGATTTTGCCTGTGCTTAGCTCTATTCCGTTAATTTTTAGTGTCCTGAAAAACTCCTCAGTTCTTAATGATTTCAAGCGTACCCATAACATGATGCAGCCACCACTATGCTTGAAAGTATGGAGGGTGGTACTCGGTAATGTGTTGCATTGGATTTGCCCCAAACATAGCACTTTGTATTCAGGATAAAAAGTGAATTGCTTTGCCACATTTTTTGCAGTATTACTTTAGTGCATGCTTTGTAATATTTTTATTCCGTACAGGCTTCCTTTTTACTCTGTCAGTTAGGTTAGTATTGTGCAGTAACTATACTGAACAAAAATATTAATGCAACAATTTCAACAATTTTACCGAGTTACATTTCATATAAGGAAATCAGTCAATTGAATTCGGCCCTGATCTATGTATTTCACATGACTGGGCAGGGGTGCAGCCATGGGTGGCCCTGGGAGTGCATAGGCCCACCCACTTGGGAGCCAGGCCCAGCCAATCAGAATGAGTTTTCCCCCCACAAAAGGCCTTATAACAAGACAGAAATACTGCTCAGTTTCATCAACTGTCTGGGTGGCTGGTCTCAGATAATCCCGCAGGTGAAGAACCCGCATGTGGAGGTCCTGGGCTGGCATGGTTACATGTGGTCTGCTGTTGTGAGGCCGGTTGGACTTACTGCCAAATTCTCTAAAACGACGTTGGAGGCAGCTTATGGTAGAAAAATTAACATTAAATTATCTGGCAACAGCTCTGGTGGACATTCCTGTAGTCAGCATGTCAATTGCACGTTCCCTTAACTTGAGACATCTGTGGCATTATGTTGTGTGACAAAACTGCAGATTTTAGTGGCCTTTTATTGTCCCCAGCACAAGGTGCACCTGTGTAATGATTGTGCTGTTTAATCAGCTTCTTGATATACCACACCTGTCAGGTGGATGGATTATCTTGTCAAAGGAGAAATGCTCCCTAACAGGGATGTAAACAAATTTGTGCACAAAATTTGAAGAAATAAGCTTTTTCTGCTTATGGAAAATTTCTGCGAGCTTTTATTTCAGCTCATGAAACATGGGACCAACACTTTACATGTTGAACACTGAACAAAAGTTCCTTCCTCTCCGGCAACTGAGTTAGGAAGGACGCCTGTATTTTTGTAGTGACTTGGTGTATTGATACACCATCCAAAGTGTAATTAATAACTTCACCATGCTCGAAGGAATATTTGTGTAGATTTTTTATTTTTTAACCATCTACCAATAGGTACCCTTCTTTGCGAGGCATTGGAAAACCTCCCTGGTCTTTGTAGTTGAATCTGTTTGAAATTCACTGCTTGACTGAGGGACGTTACAGATAATTGTATGTGAGGGGTACAGAGGTAAGGTAGGCATTCAAAAATCATGTTAGGCTAGAGATGTTTTTTTGTATTGGATGCATCTCAATCCACCACATCTGCCTATGTCGCACTTCCTCATCTGTGGTGAAAGCTGACTGTGCTAAAATGGTGTTTGTCAGACCATAAGACATCTGAAAATCGGTCTTCTCACAAAATCGTCTTTAGCGTCCGAATGGTTTGGCCTACAAACTATTATGGAAAGATGACTCTCGCGAACATGATGGTGTTTTCCTCTACGACCCACATAAGCGTCTTGGGACTCGGTACAGCAGATCTGCCAAAGTAATAAAAAACAACAACATTTTAGTCATTTAGCAGACTCTCTTATCCAGAGCGACTTATAGGAGCAATTCGTGTTAACAGAGCCTTGTCAGCTCGAGGAGTCAAACCAGCAACCTTTCAGTTACTGGCCCAATGCTCTAACCTCTAGGCTACCTGCCGCCCTGTCTGTAGAGTCCGAGCAGTTTTGGCCACGAAACTCTCACGAACACGTCGGTTGTTTTGCTCTAGGACGCTCACAAGCCTCACAAGACTCATCTGAAGGTCCCCCGTACCAGTTTAAAAAATGAATGGAAGTAAACTCAGCAAAAAAAGAAATGTCCTCACTGTCAACTGGGTTTATTTTCAGCAAACTTAACATGTGTAAATATTTATATGAACATAACAAGATTCAACAACTAAGACAAACTGAACAAATTCCACAGACGTGACTAACAGAAATTGAATAATGTGTCCCTGAACAAAGGGGGGTCAAAATCAAAAGTAACAGTCAGTATCTGGTGTGGCCACCAGCTGCATTAAGTACTCCTCATGGACTGCACCATATTTGCCAGTTCTTGCTGTGAGATGTTACCCCACTCTTCCACCAAGGCACCTGCAAGTTACCGGACATTTCTGGGGGGGAATGGCCCTAGCCCTCCCCCTCCGATCCAACAGGTCCCAGACGTGCTCAATGGGATTGAGATCCGGGTTCTTCGCTGGCCATGGCAGAACACTGACATTCCTGTCTTGCAGGAAATCAGGCACAGAACGAGCAGTATGGCTGGTGGCATTGTCATGCTGGAGGGTCATGTCAGGATGAGCCTGCAGGAAGGGTACCACATGAGGGAGGAGGATGTCTTCCCTGTAACGCACAGCGTTGAGATTGCCTGCAATGACAACAAGCTCAGTCTGATGATGCTGTGACACATCGCCCCAGACCATGACACATCGCCCCAGACCATTTTCTTCATGATTATTTTTTTATAATTTCCTAATCTTTCTTCAGAACAAACTTCCTTTAGATTTTTTTTGGGGGGGACTATCTGTTCCATAGAGTGAATCTGTTATTCAATGCTTTTCTATTTGCTAATAGCAGTAATGCCAAATTCAATGTTTCATCCCCCAACTTTGTAAACAATTTTTTGGATACCTTAAGGTGTCTAAAAATTCCAATTGAAATAGCTAAATTATCCTTGGTATCGCCATCTTAAAACAATTCCACATGTAGGGCTTAGACTAGAGGGTTAAGATGAATGCTCTATAAGTCGCTCTGGAGAAGAGCGTCTGCTAAACGACTAAAATTGTTCAAAAGAAAAGTGCGAAATGCAAACCAACTCTGGCTGTAACGAATCCTGGACCTGTTTGAGTAGCGGGTCCAAGATCCATGACCAGAGTACCAGGTATTGAGTCATGTGGAACTTATACTGAACAAAAATATAAACGCAACAATTTCAACATTTTACGGAGTTACAGTTCATATAAGGAAATCAGTAAATTGAAATAAATAAATTAGGCCCCAACCTATGCATTTCACATGACTGGGAATACAGATATGCATATGTTGGTCACAGATACCTTTAAAAAAATGGTAGGGCCGTGGATCAGAAAACCAGTCAGTATCTGGTGTGACCACCATTTGCCTCATGCAGCGCGACACTTCTTCATTGCATGGAGTTGATCAGGCTGTTGATTGTGGCCTGTGGAATATTGTCCCAATCCTCTTCAATGGCTGTGTGAAGTTGCTGGATATTAACGGGAACTGGAACACGCTGTCATACATCTCAATCCAGAGCATCCCAAACATGGAAGAAATGGGACTTTTCCAGCTTTCAGGAATTGTGTACAGATCCTTGCGACATGGGGTCATGCATTATCATGCTGAAACATGAGGTGATGGCGGCGGATGAATGGCACGACAATGGGCCTCAGGATCTCGCTACAGTATCTCTGTGCATTGAAATTGCAATCGATAAAATGCAATTGTGGTCGTTGTCCGTAGCTTATTCCTGCCCATACCATAACCCCACCACCACCATGGGGCACTCTGTTCACAACGTTGACATTAGCAAACTGCTCGCCCACACAACGCCATACACGCTGTCTACCATCTGCCTGGTACAGTACAGTTGAAACTGGGATTCCTCCGTGAAGAGCACACTTCTCCAGCGTGCCAGTGACCATCGAAGGTGAGCATTTGCCCACTGAAGTCGGTTACGAAGCCGAGCTGCAGTCAGGTCAAGACCCTGGTGAGGATGAAGAGCATGCAGATGCGCTTCCTTGAGCCGGTTTCTGACAGTTTGTGCAGAAATTCTTCGGTTGTGCATACTCAGTTTCATCAGCTGTCCGGGTGGCTGGTCTCAGACGATTCCGCTGGTGAGAAGCAGGATGTGGAGGTCCTGGGCTGGTGTGGTTACACGTGGTCTGCGGTTATAAGGCTGGCTGGAAGTACTGCCAAATTCTCTAAAACGACGTTGAGAAATGAAGAACAATGGTAGCGAAATGAACATTCAATTCTCTGGCAACAGCTCTGGTGGACATTCCTGCAGTCTGCATGACAATTTGGAATCCAAACCAGAGCAATGCATTTCATATGTGAAAACGCCCTAAAGGTAGCCTCAATTTTGGTCTATGCCTTGTTTGTTGCTCCTAAATATTTTATTGAAGCTGATGATAAAGCAACATTGTTGAAACATACGGAATACCTCTTCTCCCTTCTCACAGATACCTGCTGCAGTACCAGGAGCCTATCCCCTGTGAACAGCTGGTCACAGCTCTGTGTGACATCAAGCAGGCCTACACACAGTTTGGAGGTAAGTTGCTGCCCTACACCACATAGGGCTTTATTCAGTAGCACTCTACAATGAAACGAGAGTCCACCTGCAGGTCACAGTAAGCACTCTCCAATGAAACGAGAGTCCACCTGCAGGTCACCGCAAGCAAATGGAGCGCTGTGTCAATTGGAAGCAATTGGTTTAGCTCACTGCTCCTCAATACTGTAATTTCAAGTGTGAAGTTGTAAGTGGCTGGCCCGGCAACCGTCAGTGTAAAATGCAGTGTCTTCCAAATTCATTATTGGCTTTCGTTCTCTGAGGTTGTTCAAAAAGCAAAGTTGAAATTCTTTAAATTGCTGTTTGTGCGGTTTGACCACAGGGAAAAGGCCCTTTGGCGTGTCTCTGCTGTACATGGGCTGGGACAAACACTACGGCTTCCAGCTCTACCAGAGTGACCCCAGCGGCAACTACGGAGGCTGGAAGGCCACCTGCATCGGCAACAATAGTGCCGTAAGTCCCTCTTTCAACATTGTATGTGTTTACATGCTGCATTCTTCATCTGCTGTGGCAAATTGCAATCACCAGAGATGGGCCACGGGTCGACTCTGGACTACAACCACGAATGACCACGTTTTTCTTTGTTGCCAGTCCTACATCCCCTTTATATAAAGCAGCCTGTTTCTGTGGGGGATTCTCAGGTGGCCTGTAGTATACATTGAGATTTGGGTTGGTTATGGAGAACCAGTACAATGAACGGTACCATAATACTGGTTCCTACATACACTACCACACCTGATTTCACTTAGTCCACCAAAAGACCACTCATGGCTGCACCGGATTCTTCTGCCCCTCTTTGTCCTTATGCTGTGTCGTCTCTCCTGCAATAAACTGAATGATGAAACTATGCAACGCTTTGGGCACCAGAGGGCGGCAGATGTGCTTCTTAAGGTCTCTGCATGTTGGAAAGGCGCTCGCCATTGAACAGATTGACAGAGTAAATTAAAGTGGTTCACCACACAGGATTGTAGTATAGGAGGTTTCACCCTGAAGGCTCAGTCTGTTTGACTAACCTGGATGTCAAGGACATGTTTGCTTAGCGAGATTGTGTGTGCATGTGCATAAGAGCTGTTAAAGGTACACGATGGAAATGGAGTTGCTAATAGTTTTTCTCAAAATGTGTCTTGAGTGTTTGCTGTATTCATACACTTAAATACTGTATTTAGTTTTAATCAGCAAGGGATTCCTGCATAGCTATAACATCTGACTAGTTTTGACACAGCCAGATCAACAGTCGGGGCATAATAGTATCATCCACATAGGCTTGTCATGATACCAGGCCAAGTATCACGATAGAGTAGTATCGCAATACCACGGTGGGAAAAAATCAGTGGCCTAGCATCCTGTTCGCCCGACCCCCGGGACGCTTGTTCACGTATTCTAAACATTCTCCAAAAACCTGTCACTGAAATTCACACTCTTACTCAATACAACACATTGAATTAAACTTCAAACTGTTCAGTGTATAATAGAATACTGCATAGAATGGCTGATTTTATAATATTTGCAAAGGCCTACCTGTGATTTGGCTGGAGGAATGGGAGGAAGGAATGTACGTCAGTGGAGGCTGCTGAAGGGAGGACGGCTCATAATAATGGCTGGAACGTCACAAATGGAATGGCATCAAACACATAGAAGCCATGTGTTTGATACCATTCCACTCATTTCGCTCCAGCCATTACCACAAGCCCGTCTGTTATGATAATTATTTAACAAACTATTTCAGTGTCTCTGTGCGTCTCCCAAAAGGTTGTAAGTCTTTTGGGATTTAAGTAACGGACAGAGACCCGGTCTGCATAGTCAGAGATTTATTCATTGAGAATTCTGCCATCACAATTTCAGAGTTCATCTTTTATACTCATACGTCATACAAAAATCCCTCCCCTCTTTAGGCGGGCTGTAGTTTTCCACTTTAAAACTGCTCTCCTGACCATCAGTTCACACACACATACACACACACAAACACACACACATACATATACACACACACACACATGCATACACGCATATATACATACACACGCATACATACACACACACACATACACACACATTCCTTAGTTATCGCCGTCCTCACAATATCCTGCATACTCCTTAAAAAGCCTAACAGTTTCTCTCCTCCCTAAATTGGGAGGCCTCTTTATCTTGGTTTCTCAGTTGTCTGTAGACAGTTCTCCTTGTCCTTTTGTTGTCTGGTCTAACTCTTACTCACATTGCTAAATAGTAGCTCAATGTCATAGTCTTTACTGGTCCTACACTCACACATTCTAACACATTTCACACAGTTTCAGGGTGTAATAATTAGTCACTTCTAAGAAAGTACTAATCATACTTAAAACAAGGACATTTCACAACTATATTTAAGGGTGGAACATTTTGTCATTACTTTTAACCTGTATATATTTTAATTCCTATATCACCGTCCTCCCCAATTAATGTGCCACCAACCTCCTGTGCTATACAGTGCCTTCGGAAAGTATTCAGACCCCTTGACTTTTCCACATTTTGTTACGTTATAGCCGTATTCTAAAATGAAAAAAACCAAGCCATGAGGTCAAAGGAATTGTCCGTAGAGCTCCGAGACAGGATTTTGTCGAGGCACAGATCTGGGGAAGGGTACCAAAAAATTTCTGCAGCATTGAAGGTCCCCAAGAACACAGTGGCCTCCATCATTCTTAAATGGAAGAAGTTTGGAACCACCAAGACTCTTCCTAGAGCTGACCAAACTGAGCAATTGGGGGAGAAGGGCCTTGGTCAGAGAGGTGACCAAGAACCAGATGGTCACTCTGACAGAGTTCTAGAGTTCCTCTGTGGAGATGGGATAACCTTCCAGAAGGACAACCATCTCTGCAGCACTCCACCAAGCAGGCCTTTATGGTAGAGTGACTAGATGGAAGCCACTCCTCAGTAAAATACATGATAGCTCGCTTGGAGTTTGCCAAAAGGCACCTAAAGACTCTCAGACCATGAGAAACAACATTCTCTGGTCTGATTAAACCAAAATTGAACTATTTGGCCTGAATGCCAAGCGTCACGTCTGGAGGAAACCTGGCACCATCCCTACAGTGAATCATGGTGGTGGCAGCAACATGCTGTGTGGATGTTTTCAGCGGCAGGGACTGGGAGACTAGTCAGGATCGAGGCAAAGATGAACGGAGCAAAGTAGAGAGAGATCCTTGATGAAAACTTGCTCCAGAGCACTCAGGACCTCAGACTGGGTTAAAGGGTCACCTTCCAACAGGACAACGACTCTAAGCACATAGCCAAGACAACGCAGGAGTGGCTTCGGAACAAGTCTCTGAATGTCCTTGAGTGGCCCAGCCAGAGCCTGGACTTGAACCTGATCGAACATGTCTGGTGAGACCTAAAGATAGCTGTGCAGCAACGCTCCCCATCCAACCTGACAGAGCTTGAGAGGATCGGCAGAGAGGAGTGGGAGAAACTCTCCAAATACAGGTGTGCTAAGCTTGTAGCGTCATACCCAAGAAGACCCAAGGCTGTAATCGCTGCCAAAGGTGCTTCAACAATGTACTGAGTGAAGGGTCTGAATACTTATGTAAATGTGATATTTCTGTTTTTTATTTGTAATAAGAGGGCATCGGCCCTCTTATTTGAGGAGAACCCTGGCATAGTGAGCATATCTTGGTTTTAAACGCTTTAAATGCCTTTGCGTGACCCTGGACAACACCCTGTCTTTCTCCGCTAACATCAAAGCGGTGACCCAATCCTGTAGGTTCATTCAAAGAGTACGACCCTACCTTACACAGGAAGCGGCACAGGTCCTAATCCAGGCACTTGTCATCTCCCGTCTGGATTACTGCAACTCGCTGTTGGCTGGGCTCCCTGCCTGTGCCATTAAACCCCTACAACTCATCCAGAATGCCGCAGCCCGTCTGGTGTTCAACCTTCCCAAGTTCTCTCACGTCACCCCGCTCCTCCGCACACTCCACTGGCTTCCAGTTGAAGCTCGCATCTGCTACAAGACCATGGTGCTTGCCTACGGAGCTGTGAGGGGAACGGCACCTCCTTACCTTCAGGCTCTGATCAGTTCCTACACCCAAACAAGGGCATTGCGTTCTTCCACCTCTGGCCTGCTGGTCCCCCTACCTCTGCGGAAGCACAGTTCCCGCTCAGCCCAGTCAAAACTGTTCGCTGCTCTGGCACCCCAATGGTGGAACAAGCTCCCTCACGACGCCAGGACAGCGGAGTCACTGACCACCTTCCGGAGACACTTGAAACCCTACCTCTTTAAGGAATACCTGGGATAGTATAAAAGTAATCCTTTTTACAAAAATAATACAATATATGTATAAAACAAATTAAAATTAAAAATATACTCAAAAGTAAAAAAATTAGAAAAATATAAAATAAATACATTGTAAAGTGGTTGTCCCACTGGCTATCATAAGGTGAATGCACCAATTTGTAAGTCGCTCTGGATAAGAGCGTCTGCTAAATAACGTAAATGTAAATGGGCACTTCTGATTTTTGCTGTATTTCCCGGGAATCTCTGATAAATATGAATGATTCCCAGTATTGAAACTTGGTAGGTTTTCGGGAAAATATTCATCCGCAGTGCAGGTGTAATTCTTGATAGGCCTATTAATTTATTTATTTTATTTCATGAAACCACACAATCCTTTTGCAATATCGTATTTTTCTCACAGGTGTGGGGGGTTTTCTGGACAATATTTCTGGCCATTTAGGGTTCCCTTTTTGGCTCGCAAGCACCCCCAGTATCTTCTGTAATAGAACTTAAAGTATACAATGTTTTTTCTCAGTGTTGTGTTAAAGATGTTAAATGTCTTGTTTGTGTCCTCTCTCCAAGGCGGCCGTGTCCATGCTGAAGCAGGACTTCAAAGAGGGAGAAATGTCTCTGTCCTCTGCCCTGGCTCTGGCCGTCAAAGTGCTCAACAAGACTATGGACGTCAGCAAGCTGTCTGCTGAGAAAGGTGTGTTAGTGAAAGATTGCCTGTGTGTATGAGAGTGCTCTTGAGACTCAATCAGAACGGAATATTACTCAAATTGAGTGTTTATGGACCTTTTAACTTTAGCCATGTTCACATTGGCAGTTTGAAGTGACTCAAATCATATTTATTTGCATAACCGATTCGAATCAGTTATTTTTCCTGCAGTCTGAACAGCCAAAAAGCACATGGAATCGGATATTTCAAGCCACATTTCAAACCACCTTCGTAGGTGGTTTAAAATCAGATGCAAATCTGATTCCTGGCCTAGGGCTGGGCAGTATACCGTATTTTATGATATACCGGTATTGATGGACGGACCAGTTTGAGTTTTTATTTGACCTTCTATAACGGCATTTGAATGTTTGGTTTGTTAAATGTGATACGCCGTGTGTAACGTCTATTTTTGTAGTTTACTTGGCTACTTGAGTCAACTCTCTCTCCATGCCACTTTCCATACAGACTTAGCTCCACCCCCTGTCACTCAAGGAGCGCATTTTGTTGTTCATCGAAAACGAGACACTTGCATTCAGTCTGCATGGTCAATGCAGCACATGCAACAATGTTGATGTCAACAATGTGGTTTTCACTTTGCTTTTTACAATACATTCACTAGTGTTCTGTACTGAACAAAAATATAAACACAACATGCAACAATTTCAAAGATTTTACTGAGTTAGTTCATGGAAGGAAATCACTCAATTGAAATAAATTCATTAGGCCCAAATCTATGGATTTAACATGACTGGGCAAGGGTGCGGGCATGGTAGGGCATAGGCCCCCCAACTGGGGAGCCAGGCACAACCAATCATAATTACTTTTTCCCCACAAAAGGGCTTTATTACAGACAGAAATACTCCTCAGCACCCCCATCCTCAGATGATCCCGCAGGTGAAAAAGCCAGATGTGGTGGTCCTGGGCTGGTGTGGTTACACGTGGTCTGCGGTTGTGAGGCCAGTTGGACGTACTGCCAAATAAAATTAAAAATTACGTCGGAGGTGGCTTATGGTAGAGAAATGAACATTCAATTATCTGGCAACAGCTCTGGTGGACATTCCTGCAGTCAGCATGCCAATTGCACGCTCCATCAAGACTTGAGATATCTGTGGCCTTGTGTTGTGTGACAAAACTGCACATTTTAATGGCCTTTTATTATCCCCAGCACAAGGTGCACTTGTGTAATGATCATGCTGTTTAATCAGCTTCTTGATATGCTACACCTGTCAGGTGGATCTAATATCTTGGCAAAGGAGAAATGCTCACTAACAGGGATGTAAAAAAATTTAGCACAATTTGAGAGAAATAAGCTTTTTGTGCTTATGGAACATTTCTGGGGTCTTTTATTTCAGCTCATAAAACATGGGACCAACACTTAAAATGTTGCTTTTATATTTTTGTTCAGTATATAATTTCACTATTAGTTTTGTGTCCCATACATCTGCAAACAGCTAGTTTGTCTTTTCTTAGCAAGTTGGGCCTACATCTTGTTAGTCGCTAATGGTAATCGCTAGTTAGCTGGCCAGCTAGCTAGCTAATAAATGTACTGAGTCAGAGCAAACGTAATTAGCTATACAGCCTGCATTCAAAGTGCCCACTATTATATTCTAACTATAGAATTAGAATAATCATTCTGTTTCCATGATTCCAACAGTTCACCCAACTGTTTTAATCTAAATCGCAATTGCAACATTTGGTTAAAAATAAGGCCTAGATTGTTTGCCCATATCATGCAGCCCTACGTGGCCGTGTGGAAAAGATCTCAAATGAGTGCAGGAAATGCAGAAGTTGATGAAAATTCCGAAAATTATTTTTGGTTGAATTGATCAGTATAAAACAATCAGAATGGAGAAAGACCCATTGAAATCACTTAGAATGTATGTGTTGCCACCCTAGGGTCACGCACTACTCAAAGCAAATGTTGAACTTGTATTATTAAAAAACATAAAATACTGTCTATTTTATTTTATATACTGTGATGTATTTTGGCCATATTTACTGCTAAGTTTACTGCCACATGTCCAGCCCTATCCTGGACATGTGACTTGTCTGAACGGTCAAATCTGATTTTATTTGCCCTCAAGTGTTTTTTATATTGTTGATTTATTAGCTACTCTGCTTGACAGTTTGACAAGAACATGGTAGATAACTAGCTTGTTAATTGTTTACAAACAAATTGGTGAATGTGCTAGAAAGCTAAACGGCTACCTAGCTAGCTAGTTGACTGCTATGGCTAGCCAAAAAGGACTAGTTTTGAAAGTTGGATCATCTTATCCTTTGAGGCTTTAAAAGTGTTCTTATCCTATGATTTTGAACATTCAAAGGAAATGGGAAACGTCCAGGCAGGCATTGTTGTCACCTTAGCTTGCTACATGCTCCTGAGTGGCGCAGTGGTCTAAGGCACTGCATCGCAGTGCTAACTGTGCCACTAGAGATCCTGGTTCGAATCCAGGCTCTGTCGCAGCCGGCCGCGACCGGGAGACTCATGGGCGGCGCACAATTGGCCCAGCGTCGTCCAGGGTAGGGGAGGGAGTGGCCGGAAGGGATGTAGCTCAGTTGATAGAGCATGGCGTTTGCAACGCCAGGGTTGTGGGTTCGATTCCCACGGGGGGCCAGTATATTTAAAAAATATATATGTATTCACTAACTGTAAGTCGCTCTGGATAAGAGCGTCTGCTAAATGACGTAAATGTAAATGTAAAATGTACATAACTTCTGAGGGATAGGAAACACAAGCGCCACCATCAATCAGCCTACACACTGCACACACACCCGTTGTTACTATGACAACTAGCATAGACTTGTCAGCAAATTACTGCTGTCTGAACACACACATCCATTTTGGTCACTTGTAACTTGCTGTTTGGACAGGCAGTATTCCAAAATGGATTTGAAAAACAAAACTGATTTGAGCATTAAGGCCTGCAGTGTGAACAAGGCTTTATTTGCATATACTGTATATGCTTGTCTGCTGTATTGCGTTACTTACTTTCCCCCTTCCAACCTCTTAAGTGATAATATTCAGGGTAGTAGCCTTCTTTTTTTTAACCCCGTGTGTCTCCGCTTTGGTGTTATCTAGTGGAGATCGCCACACTGACCAGAGAGAACGGAAAGACTTGCATCAAGGTGCTGAAACAGAAGGAAGTGGATGAGCTGATCAAGAAACACGAGGCGGAGGAGGCCAAAGCGGAGAAGGAGAAGAAGGAGAAAGAACAGAAGGAGAAAGACAAATGAGTGGCTATTTTGTTACATTTCTGTAAAAAAAAACATTAAATATTCCAGGTTTTCTAAATTGTTCTCTTCGACTGGATCTGTTGTATTTCTTTAAATAAATGATCAGTACTATACATGCCTGAGTCTGGCATCTGCTGAATGTTTATTCAGACAGCTAGGGCTGACTCCGTGTTGTCACATCTGTAGTTTTCTGTATAACAACTCTGTACTCTGTACAAAACTCACAACCTCTGCACAGTCTAATATTTGTCACACTACAAGTGTGTAGTGTCATATATTAAATATGACAAATATTAGACACGTTATTTGAGCCATCAAAGGAGTCAACACAGTATGTTTGAGAGGCAATATGAGGCTTTATGCTGTGAGCTATATGATGAGCCATCAGTGCTGAGGAAATGTTAATTAATAGCATTCTGATCATGTAATTAAGGACATTTTCATGAATCATGTAATGTTGAGAATATTAATGAAATTCCCTAAATGTGCTTACGAAACATCCATGCTCCATGCGCTTATCTGGTGGAATTAGCGGATATCAGATGTGATGTAAAAGATGAGTCGGGTCATTTTTAGAAGGGATTAGTTATTGATTCTAGCTTGCTTTAATTCTGCTGACCCGATCCTCGAATCCTGATAGCGATAGAAAAGAGATTTCTGCAAAATGCCGTGACTGACATCCATGCGGTAACAGCCTCAATCTGAAGGCTTGTTATGTAAAGTCAAGTGAAGATTAAGGTCAGAAGGGACTAACTGTCCTTTTTTGCTCCGCCAGGAATTAGTGGTGGGAGACAGAATGGCAGCTGGGTTTCTGCTGTGTCCGTCATGTTGCATAAAACAATTTGTGTGGAAAAAGTCATGGAAAATATCTGTCAAATGTGTGGTACATCAGCCTTACAACCTGAGTGTGCACGGGGCCTTAGACACCTTGTAACCCAGCAACAAAATAGGCCTACATTTACAGACTAAATAAATAGCATGTCTAAATGTCTCAGAGACCTAGGTGAAGTGGACCATAAGGCATGCAGCACCTTTACTGTCACGACACCGAAAATAGAAGGAATGATCAACCGATTTGGGACAAAGTGGGCTTGGCAGAACATCAGGAGTGTCGGACAGTTTACCGGGAACAGCCTGAAGATTATTGGTTGCGTCAGCAAGAGAGCTGAGAGCCCAGCGGGAGAAGAAGAGCGTTTTATAAACTTTGGCCTACTCATTCTGATAAACAACTCTGCCTTTGAAGCACCTATTCTGTTAATCCCAACATCCTCTTCGTCTCTCATATGCACTAGATTACTGTTGGTAGATACCATTTGAGGTTTTGTAAAGCCTTGTCTAAATAAGGTTGAGGGGGTAGTTCCAAATCACACACCAAAATGTAAGCCTACAGACAGCAGACCCAAAATGTAATTGTGCTACAGCTGAGATAAACTGAAGGCCCACACATGGTGTATTGCTGTTCCCTATTGCTTTATTGCTGCAGTATGATATGAAACAAAGGTTTGACTTCACAGAAGTCTTTGTCAGGGCCAGACCTCTGTGAAGTCTAAATGGTGCAGGGAATGGAATAAAGCCCTAGGGATGACTGAGACTTCTGTGAAGTCAACACGTATAATATCATAGTGCAGGTATAACACAGTGCACCTTTTTAGTTTGTCTATCTCCTTTCTACAATATACCTTTTGTCTGCCGGTTTCTTGATGTTTTGGAGGTGGATATGTCCGACCCTATTTAGTGTCACTGTACTACATCGTCCCCTTAGGGTATAGGCCCGATTTGGAAATGGTTCCTAACTTCCTAGTGCCTTCTGTCAATTACAGAAGATTAAACACTAAATTCAACAACCTGTTTGATGGACCGTTGTCAGTAAAGTGTCTGTTTGGCTGTCAAATAATGATGCTCATGAGTCTGCTATTACCATTTTCATTATATTCATTTTTTTGGTGCCAAAACCTGGGATCGACCCAGGGACATAACTTCTTACTCAAACACATTCTCTCTCAATTGTCAGCAACTATGCACACACATCCCCATGGAAAAACAAACACAAGCAAGATAAATTAAAACCATTTTATATATTTTTTCCATACAGAAAAAGTTATACAGGTATGGATTGTCATTGAATGAATGATTATCTCTGTATGCCACTGTACACAAAAGAAAAATAAACTAGGCTATAAGAAAGAAACAATCAACCAAGAAAGATACATAAAAATATAACTCTGAAGATGAATAGACATTATCCTTATCGTCACGGCTCATTCAATAGCTATAGACAGGTTGGTTGTTTAGCAACGCAACTGATGCGTGCGCAACTATGAGGCAAAACAGACGGGGTTGGCTTTGATTGTTGACAACGTGTAAACTATATTTCTTCATTGTTTATTGAAATCATAAATGCATTTGCACAATGAACACTTGTCTCTCAAATATATCTTTACAGTTGTTGGTTAACTAGCTAGCAACATTTTGCCATATTAGCATTGACATGAAATCAGTCAAAACCCCACAAAACAAGACATGGTATCAAGAACATGATGAAACTAGCTACAACGAGTCACTTACCATTCCCTACATGGCAGTTTCTTGTTATTGTTGGTAGCTATCTGGCCATTCAGAATCACAACTCCTCACAGACTTCTGCCCCATTGAAGCGTGCGTATAGTTTTCGTGACGTTGTCAGCTAACCCATCTATGAAGACTCAAGATCTACACACATGCAAAAATGAAAGCCCCCTGCACATAGGATCCCAAGCACAGATCACTCTTGACCATGTTCCTCTGAGACAAAAAGCTATTGGTAGGGGAATGTATTTGTATATTGCTTTCCTGAACAAACCAGGTCACCCTAGCACTGTTTTAGGGATCTTGTTAGTGTGAGAGAGAAACTTAAACCAGTGTCCTATAGGTTTACTGTTGACGGGAACCTTTTAACTGTTACTGCTGAATGGAGAACCATTTCTTTGGCAATTGTCAGGTTTGCGCGGCAAAACAAAATAGAAGGTGCTGGCCACATCTCCATGTTGGACCCTAATGCACTTCCACTCGATTTTACGTGTCTACCTAAAGTGCTTGTATCGTACATTTCCCTTCATGGGTTGGTTTCCTTTTTGCCCCGTTGCTTTGGGTAGCTAGGGATGAATGTGGGAAGATTCTACAGTAAGAACATACTTACTTGTTCTACAGTAGAACATTCTACAGTAAGACTGAAGTGTAAAAGAGAACACTTTTATTAGGCGGAAAAGGCCCCACCACAACCCTCTCAAAATAGTTTCAACTGAGCAGGGGTGTTGTTGGGGATGGTATTAATAGTACAAAAGGGCTCTGGTTGATTGAACTGTATATGAAGATATGAATTTGAACTGGGATTGAAACCAGGAAGAGTCATCTCAGCCAAATTATTTTATCGTTTCAATGTATTAGCAAAAATGATGAAGGCTAAGTCTAGCCATTTTTTCCCCTGCAATTTTCCAGCAACTGTTTAGGATGTGACTAATGAGCCGAGTGAGAATGGAATGCAACATTAATGTTTAATGTTCTTCCACCCTTCTCGATGTACCTCTACTGGCTCAATAATTCAGGTGTTGTTAGTTTCACAGGCTAATTGCGTAGCTGAGCGACCTCAGGTGAGGGGAACACACGTCATTGCTGCAGAGAGCAGTGAACTAGATTGCCCTGACCCAACATTCAAAATGACGACCTTCGCTCAGCTTTCAAATATCAGGCGAGACTAATATCACGCTGACCAGAATCGGATAAGAGAAGAAAACCGTAAGCTGAAAGATCATAGCTAGTGATGCAAAAGTAGGAATGATGACTTAATATACCCAACAGTTTGAGAATATATATATTTATATGTTATAGAATTAATGCAATTGTAACGGAAAGATCAGTGTTATACTCGTCCCTATCATAGAAAAAATACAAGCAAAACAATTCATTAATTCATGTTGACCCAACCATACCCAGGCAAATATACCCTTAAGATAATTCCCTTATGCTACCCATTACATTGCTGTCCCTACTAAACAAGCCCTGCTTTGTATAGAAACTACTGTACATTAAAATACCAAAGTTAGGCTCTTTGATATTCTGTGCAAGCTGTCAGAGTATAGATATGATTTTTCTTCCAGCACCAACCACCCAAAAGGTCACCCTGTTGGATTGTCGTGGGCAGGCAGGTTAAGCCAGGCATGGAGTGGAGCCCATCGGTGGGGCGATTAGTCAAATCTGAACCAATCGGGTGATGACTCAGTCCAAGCTCCGCCCTTCCCTGCTCCACCGCTGTGCTCATCAGGGGAAGATGCATCACCACAGAGATCTTAGCATCTCCAAGCAGCACACCCCTCTTATAATAGTCTACAAAAGTGAGACAACCCAATCAATGAGAAGAAAGGTGGAGGTTTGGGTGGGAGAGTTTATCTTTGGGGTTAAGGAGGGGGCACACAGTTTGAGGATGGGGAACGGGGAAGAAGGCAGCTGGTGGGAGGGGTTCTGTGGGGGTCATGGGTGGGCTAGGGAGTGGCAGGGTGGACCGGTGTTGCAATGTTTCATTCACTCCTCATCGGAGCTGCTGTTTTCCAGAGAGTAGACCATGAAGATGAGGTCTGTCCGAGCCGGCACCAGAGGGTTGCCGGGCTTCACCACCACAAAGCCCATGTAGTGGAAAGTCTTTATGATGGATACTGTTCAGAGAGAAAGAGAGACCATACAGAGAAGTGTTAGTGAACCTAGCAGGACCAGGACAGGATTAACCAGTGTTGTGGCTGTTCTGTCTTGGGTACCAGATTAGAAGCACTATCAAAGCTTAACTTCGCTAGAACATCACTGCCACTTCTAATCAAGATACACTACATGACCAAAAGTATGTGGACACCTGCTCATCGAACATCACATTCCAAATTCATGGGCATTAATATGGAGTTGATCTCCCCTTTGCTGCTATAACAGCCTCCACTCTTCTGGGAAGGCTTTCCACTAGATGTTGGAACATTGCTGCGAGGACTTGCTTCCATTCAGCCACAAGAGTATTAGTGAGGTCTGGCACTGATGTTGGGTGATTAGGTCTGGCTCGCAGTCGGCATTCCAATCCACCTCAAAGGTGTTTGATGGAGTTGAGGTCAGGGCTCTGTGTAGGCCAGTCTAGTTCTTCCAAACCCATCGCGACAAACCATTTCTGTATGGACCTCGCTTTGTGCACGGGGGCATTGTCATGCTGAAACAAAAGGGCCTTTCCGAAACTGTTGCCACAAAGTTGGAAGCACAGAATCATCTAGAATGTCATTGTATGCTGTAGCGTTAAGATTTCCCTTCACTGGAACTAAGGGGCCTAGCCCGAACCATGAAAAACAGCCCCAGACCATTATTCCTCCTCCACCAAACTTTACATTTGGGACTATGTATTAGGGCAGGTAGCGTTCTCCTGGCATCCGCCAAACCCAGATTTGTCCGTTGGACTGCCAGATGGTGAAGCGTGATTCATCACTCCAGAGAACGCGTTTCCAATGCTCCAGAGTCCAATGGCGGCGAGCTTTACACCACTCCAGCCGACGCTAGGCATTGTGCATGGTGATCTTAGGCTTGTATGTGGCTGCTCGGCCATGGAAACCCATTTTATGAAGCACCCGACAAACAGTTATTGTGCTGACCTAGCTTCCAGAGGCAGTTTGGAACTCAGTAGTGTTGCAACCGAGGACAGAGGACAGTGGTTCCGTTCTGTGAGCTTGTGTGGCCTACCACTTCGCAGCTGAGCCGTTGTTGATCCTAGACATTTCCACTTCACAATAACAGCACTTACAGTTGACCGGGGCAGCTCTAGCAGGGCAGAAATGAGACGAACTGATTTGTTGGAAAGGTGGCATCCTATGACGGTGCCACTTTGAAAGTCACTGAGCTCTTCAGTAAGGCCATTCTACAGCCAATGTTTGTCTATGGAGATTGCATGGCTGTGTGCTCAATTTTATACACCTGTCAGCAACGGGTGTGGCTGAAATAGCCGAATCCACTAATTTGAAGGGGTGTCCACATACTTTTGTATAGTGTACTTATAAGCTATGGTTTTGGTTTCATGGACGTTATTTATATACAAAATGATAGCTCAATCAAATGTCACTATCCATTCAATGTTTTTTTCTCCATGGAAATGTTCTACAGTTGGAGAGGAAATGCAACCCTTGATTTCCAATGTGTATTATAGTGTGAACATCTAACTGGGACAGTCCAAGTACATTATATGGACTTGAATTTGCATGCTAATGCTAACCACCAATTCTGTCTGAATCTCCAATTCAGCTTTTTTACCAAAACAGAGGTGGGGGTGATGCTTTTTTGTTTCAAATAAGAGTTCTAGCTGCACTCCTCCTCTTTTGAATCCAGCTACATAAACTATGGATTACTGTAAATTCAAGAGCACAATTAGAAAGTTATACAATTTGAGAACTGTCCCTTTAATGTCAATTTAAATTGGATGTATGGCATTAACTCCTCTTCCTTACCTACTGACAGCCATGCCTTGATGAATATCTGACAGTTTTGGGCAAAACAAAGAGCAAGCACTAAATCAGGGTTCTTCAATTCCGGTCCTGGAGGGCCAAAACACTTCAGTTTTTTATTTCTACCTGGTAGTTAATTGCACTCACCTGGTGTCCCAGGTCTGAATTAGCCCCTGATTAGAAGGAGAGGATGAAAAACAGAGGTGTTTCGGCCCTCCAGGACCGGAATTGAAGAACCCTGCACTAAATAGTGGAGCACTTACATCTATCCTCTCTGGCTCTATCAAACCACAATAACACGTAGTTGACATTCAGCTTCTCCTCAGCAAACTCCAGCAGGCTGGTGAGCCTGGGGAGAAAGACAAGGGGGAGAGAAAGAGATGATGCACTGTTAGTTTTTACATAAGAGAATAGCCTTACATAATAATGCAGTTGCAGCTCGTTAGCACTGCAGTATTGGAGGAGCCGCTGAGACGGTGTTGGCACTGTGCGAAGATGATATTGACCTGACACTGACAACATATTACATGACGACGTAGCATAATGGCTCTCCCATTACGGCTCATTTCTATTCATAAGCGGAATGGACTAGACACAGTGTTTCCCAACCCCGGTCCTCGAGTACCCCCAACAGTACATATTTTTGTAGTGGCCCCGTTGACAAGTAGAAGCACACCTGATTCTACTTGTCAACTATTGATCAAGCCCTTGACAAGTTGAATGAATCAGGTGTTTTTGTCCGGGGCTACAACAAAAATGTGTGCTGTTGGGGGTACTCGAGGACCGGAGTTGGGAAACACTGGACTAGAGAGAGATAATAGCCTCCCTGAAATACATTGTTTCAAGTTTTATTAGTCATATGTAAGGGACATACAGTGCCTTGCAAAAGTATTCATCCCCCTTGGCGTTTTTCTTATTTTGTTGCATTACAACCTGTAATTTAAATGGATTTTTATTTGGATTCCATGTAATTGACATACAAAAAAAAATAACTTGTTTCAAATAATAATAAAAAATTAATAATGGAAAAATGGTGCGTGCATATGTATTCACCCCCGTTGCTATGAAGCCCCTAAATAAGATCTGGTGCAACCAATTACCTTCAGAAGTCATATAATTAGTTAAATAAAGCCCACCTGTGTGCAATCTAAGTGTCACATGATCTCAGTATATATACACCTGTTCTGAAAGGCCTGCAAGACCACTAAGCAGGGGCACCACCAAGCAAGCGGCACCATGAAGACCAAGGAGCTCTCCAAACAGGTCAGGGACAAAGTTGTGGAGAAGTACAGATCAGGGTTGGGTTATTAAAAGAATATCTGAAACTTTGAACATCCCATGGAGCACCATTAAATCCATTATTAAAAAATTGAGCCATGACCAGCCTTTCAAAGCACTTCATGGCTACAGACGTGAGTGCTATGGGTTGGTAGTCATTTAGGCAGGTTACCTTAGTGTTCTTGGGCACAGGGACTATTTTACATTTTACATTTTAGTCATTTAGCAAACGCTCTTATCCAGAGTGACTTACAGTTAGTGAGTGCATAAATTTATATTTTTCGTACTATGGTGGTCTGCTTGAAACATGTTGGTATTACAGACTCAGACAGCGAGCGGTTGAAAATGTCAGTTAAGACACTTGCCAGTTGGTCCGTGCATGCTCGGAGTACACGTCCTGGTAATCCGTCTGGCCCTGTGGCCTTGTGAATGTTGACCCGTTTAAAGGTCTTATTCGGCTACGGAGAGCGTGATCACACAATCGTCCGGAACAGCTGATGCTCTCATGCATGTTTCAGTGTTACATGCCTTGAAGCGAGCATATAAGTGATTTAGCTCGTCTGGTAGGCTCGTGTCACTGGGCAGCTCGCAGCTGTGCTTCCCTTTGTAGTCTGTAATAGTTTGCAAGCCCTGCCACATCTGACGAGCGTCGGAGCCGGTGTAGTACGATTCAATCTTAGTCCTGTATTGACTCTTTGCCTGTTTGATGGTTCGTCGTGTGCATGGCGGGATTTCTTATAAGCTTCCGGGTTAGAGTCCAGCTCTACCCTTTAGCTCAGTGCGGATGTTGCCTGTAATCCATGGCTTCTGGTTGGGGTATGTACGTACAGTCACTGTGGGGACGACGCCATCGATGCACTTATTGATGAAGCCAGTGACTGATGTGGTGCACTTCTCAATGCCATCGGAAGAATCCCGGATCATATTCCAGTCTGTGCTAGCAAAACAGTCCTGTAGCTTAGCATCTGCTTCATCTGACCACTTTTATTGACCGAGTCACTGGTGCTTCCTGCTTTAGTTTTTGCTTGTAAGCAGGAATCAGGAGGATATAATTATGGTCAGATTTGCCAAATGGAGGGCGAGGGAGAGCTTTGTACACATCTCTGTGTGTGGAGTAAAGGTGGTCTAAAGTATTTTTCCCTCTGGTTGCACATTTAACATGCTGGTAGAAATGAGGTAAAACGGATTTAAGTTTCCCTGCATTAAAGTCCCCGGCCACTAGGAGCGCCGCCTCTGGATGAGCGTTTTCCTGTTTGCCTATGGCCGTATACAGCTCATTGAGTGCGATCTTAATGCCTGCATCGGTTTGTGGTGGTAAATAAACAGCTACGAAGAATATAGATGAAAACTCTATTGGTAGATAGTGTGGTCTACAGGTTATCATGAGAAACTCTATCTCAGGCGAGCAAAACCTCGAGACTTCCTTAGATATCGTGCACCAGCTGTTGTTTACCAATATACATAGACCGCCACCCCTTATCTTACCAAAGGATGCTGTTCTATCCTGCCGATACAGTGTATAACCCGCCAGCTGTATGTTATTCATGTCGTCGTTCAGCCACGATTCGGTGAAACATAAGATATTACAGTTTTGAATGTCCCGTTGGTAGGATATACGTGCTTGTAGTTCGTCCACTTTATTATCAAGCGATTGTACGTTGGCTAATAGTACCGATGGCAAAGGCAGATTATCCACTCGTCGCCGGCTCCTTACCAGGCACCCCGATCTCCTTCCAGGATATCGCCGTCTCTTTCTACTGCGAATGACGGGGATGAGGGCCCTGTCGGGTGTCTGGAGCAAATCCCTCTCGTCCGACTCATTAAAGAAAAATTATTCATCCAGTTCAAGGTGAGTAATCGCTGTTCTGGTGTCCAGAAGCTCTCTTCGATCATAAGAGACAGTAGCAGCAACATTATGTACACAATAAGTTACAAAAGGCAGCCATTGTCAGTCCGAGTGAAGCATTTGCGAGTGCGACACACTAGGCAGGCAGGGACATTAAGTGCTCAGCATTTAAACATTGAGTTGTATTAAATCATTATAGTTTATAAATTGCACATATAAGCTGTGACTTACTTAGAATTAAATACAAATTAAAAAAATTATAACGAAAAGTCCATTGTCCTTATACTATCAATGTTGTCAGAGTATAACTTGCATGTGAAATTAGTAACCTAACAGGTTGTCACGTTCGTCGGGAACAGAGGACCAAGGCGTTGAATGCGAACATACTTTTTATTTAGTGATTCCACGAAACAAAACAACAAACGATAACGTGACGTCTACACAAACCACACTGGAACAAGATCCCACGAACACAAAGGGAAAACAGACAGTTTAAATATGGCTCCCAATCAGAGACAACCCGCAACAGCTGACACTCGTTGCCTCTGATTGGGAGCCACTCTGGCCAACATAGAAATAGCACCCATAGAATACACCATAGAACAAAAACACATAGAACTTACACACCCTGGCTCAACATATAGAGTCCCCAGAGCCAGGGTGTGACAGTACCCCCCCCCAAAGGCGCGGACTGCGACCGCGCCTGAACATCAACAAACCAGGGGAGGGCTGGGTGGGCATTCCTCCTCGGAGGCGGTTCCGGCTCCGGGCTAGACCACAACCCTCTAATAATCCCCCCGTAGCGCCCCTGGTCCGGTCTGGCCCCGCTGTCTGGAGCTGAACTGGACATCGTAGGAGCGGATAGCTTCAGCTCCAGTGTGGAGCAGCTGACCGGTACCTGACCAGGCACCGGTGACCCAGGCACGGGTTGTGCCGGACTGACGACGCACACCCCTGGCTTGGTGCGTGGAGCAGGAACGGGCCGGACCGGGCTGACGATGCGCACCCCTGGCTTGGTGCGTGGAGCAGCTACGGGCCGGACCGGGCTGACGATGCGCACCCCTGGCTTGGTGCGTGGAGCAGCAACGGGCCGGACCGGGCTGACAATGCGCACCCCTGGCTTGGTGCGTGGAGCCGGAACGGGCCTTACCGGGCTGACGACTCGCACCCCTGGCTTGGTGCGTGGAGCAGCAACGGGCCGGACCGGGCTGACGATGCGCACCCCTGTCTTGGTGCGTGGAGCAGGAACGGGCCTTACTAGGCTGGCGACGCGCACCGTAGGCTTGGTGCGAGTGGCAGGAACAGGCCGGGCCGGGCTGGCGACGCGCACCGTAGGCTTGGTGCGAGTGGCAGGAACAGGCCGGGTCGGGCTGGCGACGCGCACCGTAGGCTTGGTGCGAGTGGCAGGAACAGGCCGGGCCGGGCTGGCGACGCGCACCGTACACTTGGTGCGGGGAGCAGGAACAGACCGGACCGTACTGGGGACACACCACTGGCCCTACACCGGGATCTGGAACGGGCCGGACCGGACTGGTAACACACCCCAGTACCTCTCGCCGTGCCTCTACACCTTCCTTCCCTTCTTTGACCAGTGGCCCCCGTAACCTGGCGGCCTCCTCTGCTAACCTCCCAAATCGCCCTGTGGCAGCCTCCTGCTGCCCAGTCGCCCATGCCGTGTGCCCCCCCCTAAAAATATTTTGGGGTTGCCTCCTACCCGTGGACCAGGTCTCCATACTTTTCGCCAGACTCTCACCCCACTGCTCCAAAGTCCAACCTCTCTGCTCTTCACTTGGCTTGGCCCATTCGAAGTTGCAAAGGCGATCCGCTAGAGATTCCCCTGGCGATGGCTCCTGGACACGCTGCTTGGTCCAGTTTTGGTGGGATCTTCTTTCACGTTCGTCGGGAACAGAGGACCAAGGCGCAGCGTTGAATGCGAACATACTTTTTATTTAGTGATTCCACGAAACAAAACAACAAACGATAACGTGACGTCTACACAAACCACACTGGAACAAGATCCCACAAACACAAAGGGAAAACAGACAGTTTAAATATGGCTCCCAATCAGAGACAACCCGCAACAGCTGACACTCGTTGCCTCTGATTGGGAGCCACTCTGGCCAACTTAGAAATAGCACCCATAGAATACACCATAGAACAAAAACACATAGAACTTACACACCCTGGCTCAACATATAGAGTGCCCAGAGCCAGAGTGTGACACAGGTCATCCAACATTTCTGTAATGGGTGTCTGCAGGCATGCTGGTAGGTCTTAACAAGGGGATATGTGTCTCAGAGCTGCATGTAACACCCTGCCTGTCTGTCTGTCTGTATGCCTGTCTGTCTGCCTGTCTGTTTGTGTGCCTATGCTTACCCCTCTTTGCTGCCCTCCGCCAGTGCCCCAGCGGCGATCTCCAGAAAGAGGCTGTCCGAGGAGAGGGCTGTTTCCCAGCAGGCCGCGCGGCGCTCACTCAGTTGGTAGTGGAAGTGCAGAATGGCGGGTGTCCCATTGACAGGAGCTGCCCGCGTCACCGTCAGCCTCTCGTCCTTTAGTGGAGAGGGAAGGAGGACAGATGAAAAGGTAAATTTCCTGAAGATAATTGATGTGCTTGCGTCAGACGAAACTGTTCACACAGCGCTTTGACACCTAGCTCATTTCAGACAATGACAGTGGCCTTGGAGTTTTTCAAAAGAGTAGGAATGGGGAATGACTATTATGTGATGCCCATTAAGTTCTAGACCTTGAAAGAATGCAGACCATTTTTTTAATTGACTGTATTAACTCCCATGAGTTTCCCATGGAATATTTGAGGTAAAATCAATGATGTACAGTATATAAACCCTGGATTGCTGATGCTATGTATTGGCCAATGAGAGGCTTAAAAGCCACCGGTCGGCCATATTAGTACTCCTCAGAAGGAGCAGTCCTCCATAGGAATGAATGGAATTCTACAGTATTTCAATTAAAAGTTTTGAGAACAAAATGAAATGTATTTAAAGAGCGACTGCCACTAAAAAACAACTAATCCCTTTGACATGAGTCAGAAAAAATTTATTCTATTGTCAAAATGTACTACAAAGTGTAACAGGATAATTTTGGTAATAAAGTCAGTCTCGTCTAAAACTGAGTTTGGAACCTGAGTGCGTCACGACGAGTAAATGAAGGTTGGGTTTGTATTACAATTATGTCAATAAAACATTATGTCTATCGAGGGTGAAAAGAGACAATAATGAGACAAATGCGCTACTGTCGCCTACCATTGAAGATCTGACTGGCATGTCGCGATACCAACACCTGACTAACGTCTGCGTGACACCTGCGTCTTAGAAAATAGCATTGAGCTGTATTGTTCATCTGCAGGCTATTATAATACCATAAGCCTCTCAACTGCGGGAGGGTCAACTCATACAATTTTGATTAGATTGTCTTTACTTTAGGTTAAAAAGAATTGTGTCTTCCTCTTACACGGTAAGCCTACTGCTGGCAACTGTAGACTATATTGTAGACCATTGCATTGGATATAGGCATAAACACCATGGCAATTATGCAATCCAATAGTAATGATGTAACATGCATCAATCCACTGTAGACCTATCTAACAATGTATCATCATCATCTAGCCTATATGTAGTTGGGATCATTCTCCCACGTCAAATCAATGTCTTCATTATTATGTTGCTGAAATTCCAACTTGAATCGATTGATCAACTGGTTATAGCCTACTATTAGGCCTGATAGATATTCTTATCATAAGCCCTATTAGGAACGGACTATTACTAGAACGTTGGTTATGTAATTATTACACCAGCATCACTCCCGTAGTGCAGTTTCTCTGGACCACTGCAAGGTCAGAGTCCAGACAGGCTAGGCCTATTTCAGGAAACTTTCTGAATGGACATAGAGAGAATTAGCACACACACCCACCTAAAAGGACCCATCAATCAAAGCCACCTGCAACGCATCTCACTCAGACACATAAGCAAATCAAATTTCTCCCTTCCCCGAAAACCTTGCCTTAGCTTTAAATCCTTTCTGTAGGATACCAAAAACGAGTCTACATTATAGGATAATGCTAAATCAATGTAGCCTATCCTATAAATTGAGGAAGAAAGTTCAAATCAAATTGCGTCGAATACAACAGGTGTAGACCGTACCATGAAATGCTTACTTACAAGCCAACATGCAGTTTTAAGGGGAAGATAGAAACAGCTGTGATATACAATGCCTTCAGGAAATATTCACACCCCTTGACCTTTTCCACATTTTCTTGTATTACAAATTGTGATTATAATGGATTTAAATGTATTTTTTTTTACGATCTACACAAAATACGCTTATATCAAAGTGAAATATTGTTTTATTATTTTTTATTAGATATAGTCAATACATGTTAGAATCACCTTTGGCAAACGATTACAGCTGTGAGTATTTTGGGGTAAGTCTCTAAGAGCTTTGCATACCTGCATTGTACAATATTTGTCCATTATTCGTTTTTAAACTCTTCAAGCTCTGTCAAGTCGGTTGTTGATCATTGCTCGACATCCATTTTCAAGTCGATTTAAGTCAAAACTGTAACTAGGCCACTCAAGAACATTCAATGTTGTCTTGGTAAGCAACTCCTGTGTATATTTGGCCTTGAGTTTTAGGTTATTGTCCTGCTGAAAGGTGCATTTGTCTCCCAGTGTCTGTTGGAAAGCAGACTGAACCAGGTTTTCCTCTAGGATTTTGCTTGTGCTCAGCTCTATTCTGTTTCTTTTTATACAAACAAAAATAACTCCCTAGTCCTTGCCGATGACGAGCATTGCTATAACATGATGCAGCCACCACCATGCTTGAAAATATGAAGTGGTACTCAGTGATGTGTTGTTGGATTTGCCCCAAACATAATGCTTTGTATTCAGGATGAAAATGTGTATCTATTAGCCAAAAACCTCCCTGGTCTTTGTGCTTGAACCTGTGCTTGAAATTCATTACTCGACTGAGGGACCTTTACAGATAATTGTATGTGTGGAGTACAGAGATGTGGTAATCATTCAAAAATCATGTTAACCACTATTATTGAACACATAGTCCATGCAACTTATGTGACTTAAGCACATTTTTACTCCTGAATGTATTTAGGCTTGCCATAACAAAGAGGTTGAATACTTATTGACTAAAGACATTTTAGCTTTACATTTTTTATTAATTTCAAAACATTTCTAAAAACAAAATTCTGCTTTGCATCGTGTGGTATTGTGTGTAAATCAGTGGGACAAAATCTAAATTGAATAAAAAAATTATTCAGGCTGTAACACAACAAAATGTGGAAAAAGTCAAGGGTATGAATACTTTCTGAAAGCACTGTAGGCCTAGGCTATGAAGATGAAATTGACAACCATTAAAAAATAGAAACACATAAACGCAACCTGTCCATAGCCTATCAGCCGTTGATCAATTTTAGTGAAGCGATGGGTAATTATGTTGACAATAAGCCTACATAAAAAATGTTGTGCTTTATCTAAATCTGTGACACCACTTACTGATATGAGTAACCTAAACTCCGGCGGCTATTTCACTGTTCCCTTCTTGTAACTCACGCATCGCCGCTGGCAACTCGCCTATCTCTTCCCCCTCTCTCTAGCTCGTAAACAAGAACCCTAGGCAATATAGTTTGAAACGTATCAGCTCTGGTGTGATGTGATCACATTGGCTAAATTGATACATTGTCGCAATGATGCATTGCAACAAAAAAAAACTGACAGAAATTAATTAATTCCTTCACACAACGAACCCACAGACCTGTCAGCGGTAGTGTGCAGACTGTCAGTGGCAGGCTATATAGCCTACCCTGTATTTTCTGTCGTCTTAAAAAGATTATGCTAATGTCTCCAGTCATATAAAATGTAGTAGACTAGAAATGGCATGAAATGTGTTTATATAGGCCTAAGGCCACATTTTTGTCAGGCAAAGAAAGGAGAAGAAATGTCTCTCTATTTGCCGTTTCTAACATAGTCATTGGAATTCTTCCATGCAGCTATCACACAGTAGCGTAGGCTACATCCAACTACAATAAAGCAATGTTTTGCAAAGTTTTATATAGGCCTATATGAGGTTAATTCAAACGAATTATAAAAACAGGATCATTTAATAGTTTCATTAATTAAGTGCCTGTGTTTGTAGCCATGCGTTCAATGTTAGGCTAGGCTATATGTTGTTCGACATCAATTGTTTTGTACTGTTTAAACAAACAGAGTTTTACAATATCACGGAAAGAAAAAAAATATACTGAACAAAAATATAAATGCAACATGTAAAGTGTTGGTCCCATGTTTCATGAGCTGAAATAAAATATCCCAGAAATGTTCCATATGCACAAAAAGCTTATTTCTCTCATATTGTGTGCATAAATTTGTTTCCATCCCTGAGAGTGATCATTTCTCCTTTGCCAAGATAATCCATCCACCTGACAGGTGTGGCATATCAAGAAGCTGATTAAACAGCATGATCATTACACAGGTGCACACTGTGCTGGGGAAAATAAAAGGCCACTCTAAAATGTGCAGTTTTGTCACACAACACAAAGCCACAGATTTTTTGAGGGAGCGTGCATTTGGCATGCTTACTACAGGAATGTCCACCAGAGCTGTTGCCAGAGAATTGAATGTTAATTTCACTACCATAAGCCGCCTCTGTCGTCTTAGAGAATTTGGCTGTACGTCCAACCGGCGTCACAACCGTAGACCACGTGTAACCACGCTAGCCCAGGACCTCCACATCCTGCTTCCTCGCCTACTAGGTAATCTGAGACCAGCCACCCGGACAGCTGATGAAACTGAGAAGTATTTCTGTCTGTAATAAAGCCTTTTTGTGGGGAAAAACCTATTCTGATTGGCTGGGCCTGGCTCTCCAGTGGGTGGGCCTATGCCCTCCCAGGCCCACCCATGGCTACACACCTGCCCAGTCATGTGAAATCCATAGATTAGGGCCTAATGAATTTATTTCAATTGACTGATTTCCTTATATGAACTGTAACTCAGTAAAATAATTGACATTGTTCCATGTTGCGTTTATATTTTTGTTCAGTATAGTTTAAGCAGGGCTCTCTACCCCTGTTCCTGGAGAGCGTCCTGTAGGTTTTGCCTCCAACCCTAATCTAGCACACCTGATTCTAATAATTAGCTGGTTGATCAACTGAATCAGGTTACATGTAACTTGGGTTGAAACTAAAACCTACAGGAACAGGGTTGGAGAGCCCCGGTTTAATGAAACAATAGTTGTTATGTTTGTAGTCGGCATGCGGATCCCCCCTCATTTATTTCTGCAGGCTATAGGTTGCTTGCATATTACTGTAAAAGTTTTGCTCCTTCTGTTTTAATGACAAAAAACTATTGAATTAGTTATTATAAAATGTTCATCTCAATTAGACCGATCTGGTTGAATAAAGGTGAAATTACTGGTTAAATAAAAAATAATTAACCTTGTTAAATAAATTTGCCCTTACACAGCCTGGAGGTGTGTTGGGTCATTGTCCTGTTGAAAAACAAATGATAGTCCCACTAAGCCCAAACCAGATGGGATGGCGTATCGCTGTAGAATGCTGTGGTAGCCATGCTGGTTAAGTGTTCCTTCAATTCTAAATAAATCACAGATAGTGTCACAAGCAAAGCACCCCCACACCATAACACCACCTCCTACATGCTTTACGGTGGGAAATACACATGCAGAGATCATCCGTTCACCCACACCGCGTCTCACAAAGACACGGCGGTTGGAACCAAAAATCTCAAATTTGGACTCCAGACCAAAGGACAAGTTTCCACCAGTCTGATGCCCATTACTCGTGTTTCTTGGCCCAAGCAAGTCTCTTCTTCTTATTGGTGTCCTTTAGTAGTGGTTTCTTTGCAGCAATTCGACCATGAAGGCCTGATTCACACAGTCTCCTATGAACAGTTGATGTTGAGATGTGTCTGTTACTTGAACTCTGTGAAGCATTTATTTGGGCTGCAATTTCTGAGGCTCGTAACTCTAATGAACTTATCCTCTGCAGCTGAGGTAACTCTGGGTCTTCCATTCCTGTGGCGGTCCTCATGAGAGCCAGTTTCATCACAGCGCTTGATGGTTTTTGCGACTGCACTTGAAGAAACTTTCAAAGTTCTTGAAATGTTCCATATAGACCGACCTTATTTGAGCTGTTCTTGCCATAATATGGACTTGGTCTTTTACCAAATAGGGCTATCTTCTGTATACCCCCCCCCCCCCCCCCCCCCCACCTTGTCACAACACAACTGACTGGCTCAAATGCATTAAGAAGGAAAGAAATTCCACACATTTTTAAGAAGGCACACCTGTTAATTGAAATGCATTCCAGGTGACTGAAGCTGGTTGAGAGAATGTCAAGAGTGTGCAAAGCTGTCATCAAGCCAAAGGGTGGCTATTTGAAGCATGTAGAAAATAGTAAAAACAAAGAAAAACCCTTGAATGAGTAGGTTTGTCCAAACTTTTGACTGGTACTGTGTGTGTATATATACACTGCTCAAAAAAATAAAGGGAACACTTAAACAACACAATGTAACTCCAAGTCAATCACACTTCTGTGAAATCAAACTGTCCACTTAGGAAGCAACACTGATTGACAATACATTTCACATGCTGTTGTGCAAATGGAATAGACAACAGGTGGAAATTATAGGCAATTAGCAAGACACCCCCAATAAAGGACTGGGTTTGCAGGTGGTGACCACAGACCACTTCTCAGTTCCTATGCTTCCTGGCTGATGTTTTGGTCACTTTTAAATGCTGGCGGTGCTTTCACTCTAGTGGTAGCATGAGACGGAGTCTACAACCCACACAAGTGGCTCAGGTAGTGCAGCTCATCCAGGATGGCACATCAATGCGAGCTGCGGCAAGAAGGTTTGCTGTGTCTGTCAGCGTAGTGTCCAGAGCATGGAGGCGCTACCAGGAGACAGGCCAGTACATCAGGAGACGTGGAGGAGGCCGTAGGAGGGCAACAACCCAGCAGCAGGACTGCTACCTCCGCCTTTGTGCAAGGAGGAGCAGGAGGAGCACTGCCAGAGCCCTGCAAAATGACCTCCAGCAGGCCACAAATGTGCATGTGTCTGCTCAAACGGTCAGAAACAGACTCCATGAGGGTGGTATGAGGGCCCGACGTCCACAGGTGGGGTTTGTGCTTACAGCCCAACACCGTGCAGGACGTTTGGCATTTGCCAGAGAACACCAAGATTGGCAAATTCGCCACTGGCGCCCTGTGCTCTTCACAGATGAAAGCAGGTTCACACTGAGCACATGTGACAGACGTGACAGAGTCTGGAGACGCCGTGGAGAACGTTCTGCTGCCTGCAACATCCTCCAGCATGACCGGTTTGGCGGTGGGTCAGTCATGGTGTGGGGTGGCATTTCTTTGGGGGGCCGCACAGCCCTCCATGTGCTCGCCAGAGGTAGCCTGACTGCCATTAGGTACCGAGATGAGATCCTCAGACCCCTTGTGAGACCATATGCTGGTGCGGTTGGCCCTGGGTTCCTCCTAATGCAAGACAATGCTAGACCTCATGTGGCTGGAGTGTGTCAGCAGTTCCTGCAAGAGGAAGGCATTGATGCTATGGACTGGCCCGCCCGTTCCCCAGACCTGAATCCAATTTAGCACATCTGGGACATCATGTCTCGCTCCATCCACCAACGCCATGTTGCACCACAGACTGTCCAGGAGTTGGCGGATGCTTTAGTCCAGGTCTGGGAGGAGATCCCTCAGGAGACCATCCGCCACCTCATCATGCCCAGGCGTTGTAGGGAGGTCATACAGGCACGTGGAGGCCACACACACTACTGAGCCTCATTTTGACTTGTTTTAAGGACATTACATCAAAGTTGGATCAGCCTGTAGTGTGGTTTTCCACTTTAATTTTGAGGGTGACTCCAAATCCAGACCTCCATGGGTTGATACATTTGATTTCCATTGATAATTTTTGTGTGATTTTGTTGTCAGCACATTCAACTATTTAAAGAAAAAAGTATTTAATAAGATTATTTCATTCATTCAGATCTAGGATGTGTTATTTTAGTGTTCCCTTTATTTTTTTGAGCAGTGTATATATATATATATATATATATATATATATATATATATATATATATACTACTGGTCAAAAGTTTTAGAACATCTACTCATTCAAGGGTTTTTCTTTATTTTTACTATTTTCTACATTGTAGAATAATAGTGAAGACATCAAAACTATGAAATAATACATATGGAATCATGTAGTAACCAAAAAAGTGTGAAACAAATCAAAATATATTTTATATTTGAGATTCTTCAAATAGCCACCCTTTGCCTTGATGACAGCTTTGCACACTCTTGGCATTCTCTCAACCAGCTTCATGAGGTAGTCACCTGGAATGCATTTCAATTAACAGGTGTGCCTTCTTAAAAGTTAATTTATGGAATTTCTTTCCTTCTTAATGCGTTTGAGCCAATCAGTTGCGTGCTGAGGATGCGTGATCACTCGACATCAACAGGACAGAGAAAACAGACACATGCTCACATGCTCACAAAGGACAATGAAGAAATTTACCAACAAATCTGAAAT